GTTCGGCGGGACAAGAGCGCATGGCAAAGCCTTGTGCAACGTCAAAACTGACTGCGCCACAGAATTGGTCGAAGCGGTTAAATATCTGGGTTGGTTACCTGATCCGGGAATCCCAAATGATGATTACCATAATGCCAAACTAGAACGCATCATTAGATCCATCAAAGAAGGTGTGAGGTCAATCCACCTTAAGGCAGGTTTTTCTCATGACTTGTGGCCCAGAAGTGTTGAATACTTCTGCGTAGCACGTAGCTTTAGCACTCTTGCGCCAATACACCCTAATGAAAAGGATGAGGTCAAGACGGAAAAGTCCATGCTTACATGCTATGAAGCTGCAAATGGCGGTTCGCCATTCACAGGCCTGAGAATTCCGTTGGGTGCCTTGGTCTATTATAAACCCCCGAAACATAGAGAATTGCCAGCGTTTAGCCCAAGAACTTTTCCTGGTATATTCGTGGGATGGAGGGTTGATGCGGGGTTTGTGCATAGAAATGTTCATCTGGTCCTGGACTATGAAAACCTCCGAACAAAATCAAAAGGGTTTGGCCGACCTATCCAAGTGTATTCCACAGAGTTGGTTGAACCATCCGAAGGGAACTTTATTTTTCCTCTGTATGAAGCATCGGTTGCAAAGTTGAATCTGTTTCAACCTTCAGTCAAGTTGCCATCCATTGCCGAGCGAGAAGCCTTGCCTTTCGAAGGGCCAGCCCCGTCTCCAGCTGTTCGCAAACGTAAGACGTATGTGACACTGGAACGTGCAATTAAGTATGGTAAAACAATTGGGTGTAAGGGTTGTGACCGTATTGCTGAGGGCGTTCCTCACTCAGATGCTTGCCATGAAAGGTTTCGCACTCTGTTGCAAGAGGATCGTATGGCCAAAGAAGCCTCCGCCAGGGGAATTTCAGTTCCTGATACGCCTGCACCAGACACGCCAGTTGGAGCACCTAGAACTCCAGCAATGCCGTCAGCTGAGCTGGGTGTGAGTCGCACTTGTGCGCCACATCCACAAAACTCCTTGGAAGTCGAAGCATTCTTTGCCAGTTGCCACGCCGCACCAGGGGTGCAAGACCATGGGAGGAGCTCAGATGATAGTAACCCTGGGGATTTTTGGGAATATGATGATCTTAAGTCAGCATGGAAAATGAATCATGTTAGACCCCGAAAAAGACTCTATGCTCCTGTAGGCAAGGACTGCCCTTTCAGTGCAGATGAAATCGGTCCACAACGTGTCACAGAATGGAAATGCAAAGGTGTTGTTTCGGTTTATAAAGATAATTGGCAAGTACACCCACACCAAAGAATTTCATCTAAAAGTTGGATTGGGGCGACATGGTTTTTCCCAAATAAAAGGGTTGACTATGATCATGCGAAAGTAAAAGCATGCCAAGCCAACATAGCCAGATCCGATGGGACCTCCAAAAGGTTCGCCAAAAGGAGTGAGCATTTCTTAGCTAGTGCCAGCCTGGATCACCCGAGTCTTGCTGCAGAAATCCAGCAGGCTGCCAAAGGTGTAGAACAGGTTAAGCCGTCCAAAGCTAGAAAAGCCAGAGGGTCAAACTCCAAAGTCATGTTTGAATTTTGTTGTTCTGAAGACTCCGCACTCGGCAAAGCCAACGAGGAAAGAAACATCGAACACTTCCGTTTGACAGAAAAGTCTTCGGATATGGCAGATGATGAAGAAGTACGGGACTTGCTGAAAGTCATGAAGTTGTTCCCAGGAGCAGACCTTTGGGGTTCAATTCCTTGCGGCCCTTGGTCCCGCTGGCAGGACGTGAATCTTGCAAAAGGTGGTAAAGGGTATGCAAAGAGGCTCAAAGTCGCACGTAAGAAGTCCATGAAAATCCTGAAAAACTACATTCGCTGCGCAGAGCAGGTTTTGCTAGATGGAGGACATGTGTGCTTTGAGTGGCCCAGAGGATGTTCTGGCTGGTCAATTCCAGAGCTTGTGAAGTTCATTAAGAAGCATGATTTGTTTGTCGCCGAGCCGGACGGATGTGCATTCGGTTTAAAGGATAATGAGGGGAACCCCCATTATAAACCTTGGAGGATTGTAACAAGTTCGTATCAGTTGGCAAGAAACCTTGATGCGTACAAATGCAGTCATCCACCGGATCTCAAGCATTCGCACCTGGCAGGTTCCAAAACACCCAAATCTGCATTCTATACTGATGAAATGGCACAATGCATTAGTCATTCCTTGTACCCCGAGATAGTACCTTCAATGCCTGTTAAACCCATGCAGCCAGAACCACATCACCAGCCGACAGCCGTTGAAGTTGATGCAGGTATCCACCTCCTGATCGACAGGAAGGACTGGCACAAGCATGAAGGTTATCTTGATGCAATCAAGAAAGAACGGGATGGTGTCTTGGAGAATGGTACTTGGAACTATGATGAAGTAGTGCCTAGAGACGAGCTCATGAAACGCAAAGAGCACATCAATATAGGTAGAATCATGACAATTCTCTCAGTCAAACATTGGGAAACCCCAGCTCTTAGGAAGCTTAAAGCCCGTATAGTGTTTAGAGGGGATGACATAAGGGACAATGAAGGAAATCTTGCGGTTTTGTTGGAATCAAAAGTGAGCCCTACGGGTATGGCTGGCATCAATGCCAACCTTGCTTATGGAAGTTTACCAGGCCACAAAACAACGCAATCAGATGTTGTCCGTGCTTACCTTCAATCATGGTTGGGAACGAAAGTACCAACTTGGGTAGAGCTAAGTCCTGAACTGGTTCCTGATGAGTTCAAACATATCAAGCGACCATGTGTCAGACTATGGCGGTCGTTGTATGGCCATCCAGAGGCAGGACATCATTGGGATATGAGGTTTAGAGAAGTCATGACATACTTTGATGCAAAACATATCGATACCTTCCAAAGTAACTTCTGGATCCCAAAATATAAACTTCTGTTGAGTCTTTACGTAGACGATGTAGTGGTATCAGGACCCTCATCACAGCATAAGCTCTTTTGGGATGAAATGCAGCGCCACTTGGAGCTGGATGAACCAGCTGAAGTCAGCCGAATCCTCGGCCGAGAGCATAGCATTTCAAGAAGTAAGGAAGGAACAACTTGTGCCTTCGAAATGACCGAATTCATTGATAACTGTTGTGAACTGTATGAGACGCTTAGCAAACGTAAGCTAAAGCCAGCAGCCTCACCATATGTCAATGATGGGAGTTTAACTGATTCCGATTGGGATGTAAAGGGTTCATTGTCAGCAGAAGCATCTCGCATACTAATGAAAGTCTTGTGGCGTGCCAGATTGGCAAGGCCTGATCTCAATAAAGCTATCTCAGATCTTACACGTAGACTGACGTGTTGGAGTGTCGCAGATGATAAGCGCCTCCATAGATTAATGAGTTACCTTTATGGATCTAGAAAGTTTACTCTCAAGGGTTATATAAGGGACCCACCAGAGTTGTTGCGTTTGTGTTGTTACACGGATGCCGATCACTGTTCTGCACAAGAAGATGCTAAATCAACAAGCGGCATGATCATGACGTTGGAAGGTCCACATTCATGGTGGCCACTCTCATGGGCTAGCCGCAAGCAGACGTCAACTGCACGCAGCACAACAGAAGCCGAAATGGTGTCGCTAGGTGCAGGTTTGTTTCTTGAAGCGCTGCCAATGCAAGAGCTCTTAGAGACGATTCTTGGTAGACAGGTTGAACTTGTGTGTTATCAAGATAACTCCGCGGTTATCCAAATTGTTGCTGCCGGGTATAGTCCCAAACTCCGACACCTCAATAAGACTTTCCGCATAAATATAGGTTCAATCCATGAAGTCTTCAAAGAAAATGACGATTGCCTGTTGCTCTACATCAAGACTGCAATGCAAAGAGCTGATCCGTTCACCAAGCCACTCCCGGTGGCAAAATGGCCGGAAGCTTTGCAACAACTAAATGTCCAGGTATCTACGTAGTCCATAATCTTCCTGTAGGTTGCCTTATGTACAGCCAGTCTGTCTTGTCTGTCTGATGCAAGGATGAGATGTTTTGATCTGCCATCTACAGAGCCATTGGGAGTGAGATGCACTTGTGCACCGCAACCATTGGAGTTCTCTGTGGCAGCCAGGTCATCACACCATCCAAGTCTGTACAGGTGTCCAACGCCAAAAGGGGGAGAAGAAAGATTACGAATAATATGCCTCCTCACGTAGTGCAGTGTAGTGCAATGTAGTATCACCAACAAATGCTTCCATAGCAATCAATGTAGACTGGAATTCATAACCATTGCATGCGGTCATGTTAAAGTACACTAGACCCAGGAATCCAGTTTGCTCGAACTGACATTAATACATGTCCACTTGTTTTAACTAATTCAGTCATATGCCAAACATCCAGTGGTCCAGGTCTACAAATGTATACCATGGCCAACTGTTTGGCTCAAGATCGCATTGCCCGAGGTAAAAGGGTTTACGTGGTTGAGCCAACTGATTCTTTGAGAATCTTTTATATATAGCCATTATTAAAGCCATGTATTGTTAATAGTCATTACAAGCCTCCCCTCATTTCCTTTACCACAAATTAATTACTGATGGGAATAATTGGAATTCGATGACATATCCCATGAACCATTAACTGTTGCTAATTTCATAATACCACATTGGTCTGGGATGATTATGGGGTAACTATGGGATATGGTGCGATCATGAAACCATTGTAAGGATGATGATTATTGGGATAACTATCAGGATTAAGTTAGTACAGCAATAATAAACCACTCATATTTTGATGCTCAAATACTAAATTTGGGGATGGTGGATCCTGCTTTACTGACATCATTGTAACAAACCATTTGGTCATTCGTCTTCCGCTGGAAGCGAGGCACTCGCAGCTTCAATGGCGCCTGCGATCGCTGCTACATCCCTGGGGTGGCCGGCGGGCCGGCAGAGGTGCAACGCCCTTGGTGTCCGCTGGATGTGTTGCAGAGCCCCACTTATAAAGAGCCCTGGCCTGGTGTTTGGGCCCGATCCTGGGGAATGATCATAAGTGATGTGCAAGAGACACTGGGATGACTGGGATGTTGCATTTAAGTATCGTTTGGATGCTGAAGACTTATTGAAAAGGCTTAAAGGGGGTGATGACCTGCTGAGCCCAGCCGAGGACCTGGGTCTGAAGTGCCTTGGTTTGAAGCATTTTGACCCTGGCATTGGGCATTGTGGCATGGAAAGGTGGGACTGGACACTGCAGAATGGATTCATCCCGTTCCATCAACAATGTCTCCACAGGTCTCCTAAGTCTTCCCTCATCCCGTGGCGATTTGTGAATCCCGGGGGTGTAGAGTTTACCTGCTGGCTGAAGGATCACTTGCAAGAGCAAATCAGCATCATGGCATTGCTGCCTCTACACGGGGACATGTGCCTTGGCTTGGAGCAAGCAGGTGAAGATGACATATGAAACAGACAGTCCGGGTTGGATTTGCGCAGGGCCCCTAAAAGTACCTTTGAGGTGACGGGGATTCTGCTCCCGGCACGGCACCCCTGACAGACGATGGCTTGGCACTGGTGGCAGCAAGGACGCTGCTAGGGACGATTGGGGCCGCCCTAAAAATTGGAACAACATGGGATAACCCACAATCATAAACCATCTCCGATTTTTGGGTTGACAACGCAGGCTGATGGTTCTCTTCAAAACATGCAACTGGCCGATTCATGCCGATTCTTGGAGGGGGACCACAGGGGTTGAAAGTTCCTGTCCTGCATTCGAACATGGCCATGGAAAACAATTTTTCCAACCGAAGAAACACTTACAAATGCACATGCACTCATTTGAAGGCGATGGAGAGAGCGAGAGAGAGAGAGGATGTACATGGGGTCTTTTAGGTTGCCAGGTCAAATTGCTATAAATATACAAGTCTATAAAAGGTACCAACGGCGACCCGTTGTCAACGCCTTGTCTCAGGAAGAACACCGAAGACATGAAGAACTTCCTGAAGCGTTGCCTGGACTTGGATGGGTCCAGCGGGCATAGCAAAGAGCAGCAGAGATGTCCGAGACTAACTCTGGAATTATGATGATCCTAATTAACTTTTAACTTTTTGGCACTGGTGTCTCAACCCCCAGCCAGGTAACAGATTGTTGCTCACATCTTGTCATGAGGTTGTTTGGCACGTTCCACATGAGTGGCCGATTCCGCGGATTTGAATGTCACTTTCAAAATGTTGTTGGGCATGATCTTCCCAATAATAACTGGGTGGTTTTCTCCCATGTCACCAGCCCCAGGAATTTTAGCTGTCTGCGTTGCGCCATAGGTGCGGCCAGTGCCAGCAATCGCTACAGAGCCCTTCCACTGGACCACTCGAATATGCTGCTTGATGCAAAGTTGGGACCGAAACATACAGATATATACAGATTGTTTTTGCAGCTGATGAATGGCTATAATACATTATAATACCATATCCGTCACATTGATCACTAAACCCAGCCAAAACCCAGCAGGGACTCCAATGGTTCATCCCTGCAGGATGAGTTTAGTGATCATCACTTTCCTCATTTCCTCCATCTTTTCCACCTGAAAAGTTCAGCTTTGGCTAGGCACTGGGCAGCATATTTTGCATGGGATGCGGCACCGCTGGACAGAACCTTGGAGGAGGCCCATGGCCATAGTGATAAGTCAGTTATAAGTGGGGTAGGTCAGTATATTATATGGATGTAAATAAATACATGAATGAATAAATGAATCAATCAACCAATCAATCAACGCACACACACACAGACATGCACACACTCACTCATACACACACACACATATATATATATATACAATGTGTATACATATTGAGGCTTTTCCTTGCTCTGTAACCGTTAGTAAGAGGTTTTCTTACTAAACATACCCCCCAATGGTGCACCATGAAAGCACGTTTTTTTTCAAAAAAGGATTTTCGGCAGTTTGGGAACACGTAGGAAACTGTGGACTACAAAGCCTGTCCATCCAGCTCAACCGTAGTAATTTCTGGTTGTCACACATCACACATCACAATTTCAAGATGCGCGCTTTTCTTGGCTCAGCGCCGCAAAATTCTTCTTTGCTTGCGCCACCCTCTGGATTGGCATAGACATATTTTACAAGGAACACGTAAATTTATAGCACCATTTTTTGCACCAGAAAAACTTTGTTTTTGAATTTCCTCATGCAGCAACCATGACATGTTTTGTTTATTTCTTCGTGCGCCAAATCGTGTTTTTTTCGGCATTTCTTCGTGCACCAAATCGTGCCTAAAATCGTGCTACTGTAACAGGGCATGGTAAAATCACAATATACATACACACACACACATGATTATATATTATATATACACATAATCATATTTTAATTATATATATATACATATGCAGTATACATATGTATACGGTCCCAAGCAAAAATAAATATCAGTTGAATTGTACATGCTGAGGGCCTTCCATATCAAGCAACCGTATATGCATGTGTATGTGTATATATATATAGGTACATGTGGGTTGAACATTGAACTGGAAGTGGGGGGCCTTCAGCCTTAATCTACCATGTAGATCTATGATGACCTATGGCATTTTTGCGGATTTATAGGGTTTCATTTTTTATTAATGAGCTTCCCCAAGAACAACCCTACAACTATCCCCACCCAGCCCTTCTTGGCTCACGCCTCGCAGGCCCTGGCTGAGATGGAGCTCTATCTCACCTCGGAGCGGCCGATGGTCACCTTGTTCTCGGTGCCGCATCTTGAATACACACACACACATATATATATAATTACATATATATATAAAATTTATAATTATATATATATACATATAATTGTATATATATATATATATAATGCAGAAAGAGAGAGAGAGAGAGACATCCATAGACCTGCTGTCTTTTTTTCATAGTTCTCGGGTTTTGGGTCCAAAAGTCCAACTAATGCCAGCCTTCAAACCGGAATTTGCATTGGCTCACTGTGGCCAGACTACAACCACGACCTTGCCAACGGTTGCTGGGCCTCGGCCCAACAATTTTCCGCCTTCATTGGCCTGTGCAGCAAGAAGCGCCACCTGGATGCAATGAGATGGTCCGTTTTTCTGGGCAACATGCGATAGTTTCCAAACTTGAATCCGCAAAATGGCAATCTGAATCGGTAATTTTTTTGAGATGATTCCCTCTACTTTTCAGGTGAGGTGATGAGGGATCCTTAAGCTGGTCACGAAAAGAAACGCCAAGTTTCGGTACTGCCAGCTGGTCCCAGGTCAGCTTTGGGCCGTTGGACATGCCGGGCTCCATGGCCACCCCGACGGCAAACCTTGAAGAATGCCAGCTGAAGTGCCGGAAAACAAAGGGCTGATCTTGGGCTGCAAGATGGACTGGATTTGCATTGCCCCATGGGGATGTTTAAACCACAGGAAGGGATGGGCACGCATGCGGAGAGATTTTCAGAAGCACTTTTCCATAGTTTTCCTTTGGGCCCAACCTCATCCAGTCGGGAATACCCCTGCCAAGGCTTCCATTTTTCAATGCTGGAAGTTGGGAACAGCTGCCACCTGCAAGGCTTTTCAGCTTTGGCACAGGTCGGGTTGATGTGGCCCAGAGCCTCTGGTATTTTTCCGTCCCATCAGACGTTGCTGACGTTGCTAAGCAGTTCCGGCATGTCTCCGGTGGGTTTCAAATCGCTTCAAGACTCAAAATTGTTCCAACATGTCCCAACTTGTTGCAGCAGTGCACTTGCTGATGCAATGCTAAAGCTGCTAAAAGATGCTAAAGGGAACTTGCAACAGAATGCAAAAGGAAACCCAGGCCTCAATCCACAGCACATGCTCCACTGTATCAGGAGAACAGTTTGGGCTTCATCTCTGGGCCGCCGGAATGTTGGCAAGCCAAGAAGGCAGGGACGGGGGAATGCTAGGCTGCAGACGTGCCATTCCCAGTGGCAAGATCATTGCAGACTGATGATCGATGATCGGTGATCGGTGATCGATGATGATCATGATGATCATGATGATGATGATGATGATGATGTTGATGATGATGATGAAGAAGAAGAAGATGATGATGATGATGATGATGCTGGTGCTGGTGGTGGTGATGATGCTGCTGCTGCTTCTTTTGCCTACAATCCCAAAAAGCAGCTTGTAGCCAGAGCCAAATCATGGGCGCTGCTTTCCATGGAAGCTGTGCCATGATGTGAAGTTGAACCGCTCGGTGCCGCAGGACAAAGGTTTGCTGATCGACAAGGGGCACGATACCTATGCACCCTGGTTTCTCAGAGATATCCCGGCAATGAGTCAGACCATGTCAGACCCTAACAATCCCTAACACACGTCAGCAAAATGCCAAATTCCCGATGGAGAGAGCCGCGGAAGGGACTTGCTGTAGTTTGTTGCAGTAGTTACCATATGGGTATATCAATGTATATCCCCATTTTCCTGATTATTCCCAAGGCACTGCCTGTTGGGTTTTAATCTCTGGGTCTGAGAATGGTGCCTCGTTTGCTTGCCGAACCCGAAAACCGGAACGGAACCTTGGAACCCTGGAACCATTACTGCTGTTGGGTTGCAGGGTGGGTTAATGAACATCTTTGATGCCGTTGAAACTTTAGCCCCAGTCACTGGTTCAACCCTCCCATCTTGGACTACCCTGATTGAATTTTGATCCATGTCAATCCATATCCATCCATAGCCATCAACCCTGTCAGTCCCAGAGTTGCAGGGAAGGGTTGTTCCAGTTGAAACCCCTTGCGGCTTCCCACCATGGCAAATCCATTAGTTTCTGTGAGTTTTCCCCTTAAAATCAATCCAGCAGGTGGTCCATCCACCTTGATCAGGTCTCCCTCTCCTTCGCCTGTATGGCCTGGGGGAGCTCCTTCTCACCAGCTCTGCCCGGTGCTTACAGTACCCTGGAAGAGAAGGCCTCGCGGTGTTGTTAAGTTTCTGGGTGGTGATGCAAATCTGTCCATTGAATTTTGATGAAATTTGACAGGCATGTTTTTTTTTTAAATGGGTTGGAACCATTTTGTCCTATTGACTTGCTGGTGATACAAATGAGTATACTGTACCATTCCTTCTGATGGGCCTTCCACTTTGAAGGTATGGGCCATGGGTCAAACTTTGGCCATGGAAGAACAGAGACTTTCATGCTACAAAAATGACCTATATATTTGGATTTATTTATGACCTTACCCGGACACGGAGCAGTCCCGCTCCTTTCATTTCCAGGCCATCGTATTTGGATTGGCACAAGATAGATATATCATGATATATTTCAAATAGCAGTTAATTTTTAAATTGTTGTTCATGTCATTTGGACTCGAGCCACAGGAAACCAATGTATGTATATATATATAGAGAGAGAGACATTCAGATAGCAGATGATAGCAGTATCCCGAGATATCCTCAGCGCTCGGCAGGACTTCCCCAGTGAGATGGAAGCCACTCTGCAACTTGGAGGCAGTTCTGTCTGAGCTGCGCCTTGATGTTGGATGTTCGCTGCCTCAGGGAATGCCAAAAGCGATGCATCGATCGAAAGGACTGCAAGCACTTCACTGCGGCAGAGCTGCAAATTTCAGGATTTTTGACATTGTAAAAAGTGGTCAGTCTTTGGTGGCATTCTGTGATTTGAGCGTGCAACAAATCATGGGAAATTGAGACATCAATACCCAAGCCATGCGCCATGTGAGGTCTCCTTCCCGATTCGTTCCTGCATTTTGGTGGGCAAAGACGCCATGGTGACGGAGGGCATTCAGGGGGCCATTTCGGGTCCATCCAAGCTGCCTGGCAAAGCCGGGTGATTTATGGATGTTTATGGTGGTTTATGGGATGTTTATGGGATGTTTATGGTGGGTTAATGGTTGTTTTCGCTGACATGCAGCGTATTGGATATGCCAAGCTGGGTTTTGAGAGCCGATTTTGATGCGTGCTGTTTAAGGTGCGACGACAAGTCAATGCAGTGGCTTGGCAGGTGGTGGCACACACAAGCGCGAGATGGGAGAAAACCATCTTAGCACATTGGAAACTGACACTAGGAATGGAACATTGATTAAATATACATAGACACATAGATTAGATTGGATTGGATTGGATTAGATTGGATTTAGATAGATGCAGCAACCTCCAAAAAGACACTTCAGAAAAGCGCGGTTCTACAAACATTCTCATGGTAAACCACACTGCCGTCATATATCTGTATATAAATCATTATAAATCTAAATACCATTGCCTTCTTTTTGGGTCACCCTTTATATACAAATATACTGGTGGTGTTCTGAGGTCTTACTACTGGGAGGCTTTGCCAAAATCTGAGCAGCCAACATGGAGAACCACCTCTAGTGCCCTGTGACTTGGCCAGAAATGTCAACCAGTAAAATGCATGGAGAAACACATGATATAAATATAAATATAAATATAAATATATATATATAATATATATATAATATATATATAATATATATATATACATAAATAATATAATAATATATATATATATACATTATATCGTGACAACCTTGCAGGTTTCTTGCAAAGTGAAATGGTCATTCCAGTTGAGGAAGTGCCCTCACTATGTGATCTGGAACAAGCATGCAGAGCCTCTGCACCAGGCAAAGCGTCAGGCCTTGACGCGATTCCATCAGAACTCTGCAAACTCTGCCCTCAGGCGGTGGCGCTGCACCTCTACAGTCTCATGTTGAAAACTTGCGCACATGGACAAGAAGCAATCGCCCACAAAGGTGGGATTTTACTCCCGATATGGAAGGGCAAACTTTTAAAAGATCAATGCTCAGCCTTTCGGTCGATCCTCCTCTCATCTTGTTTGGGCAAAGTTATGCACAAAGCGGTTCGCACGAAGCAACTGGATTTGTATCAGCAGTTTCTGCATTGCCAGCAGCTGGAAGGCAGAAAAGGAGTGCCTGTGACCTTGGGTGGTCACCAAGTTCGAGCATTTCAACGTCTTTGTGCTCAGAATGGCAAACCATCGGCGCTCTTGTTTGTCGACTTGCAGGAAGCGTTCTACCGGGTCCTACGACCTCTGGTAGTTGATGGTCCCATTGATGATGCATCAATTGCTGCGATGGCAGCACGCATTGGACTGGACAAGGGCTTCATGCATGATCTCCACTGTGCACTGCAGCAACCCAGCGCACTGGAGGAAGCTGGAATTCCATGCCATCTGCGCAGAGCGATTCGCGCCTTGCACACGGACACTTACTTCAAACTGCCCACACAGGGAGATGACTCCTCCTACATTTGCCTGCCGCCGACACCTTGAGTTTCGAGGAGACCACTCTCCCGGACACGATCCCATTTGTAGGACCGTGCTGGATGGATGACCTATGCGTATGTTTGACGGCAGACACAAACATTGCACTCCAGTCCACCTTAGGTGTTGCCACCGGACAGCTCCTCGACATTTTCAAGAGTTATGCCATGACACCAAATTTGCAGCCGGGAAAAACGGCGGTGATCATTTCCCCGCGTGGTCCAGGCACCAATAAATGGAAGAAAAGCATTTTTGGGCCCCTGGCTGATGGAAATTTCTTGAGCCTTGGTGAACACCACCCATACAAGGTACCGGTTGTCACTGAGTATACACACTTGGGTGGCAAGGCGCATTTCTCCACCAAACTTCGGAGAGAAATCAAAACTCGGCTCGGGCAAGCCCATCAGGAATTCAATCGTCACAGGAAGTTGCTCTATCACAACAAACATTTCCAGATGGATAAGAAAAAAGAGCTTTTCCAAAGTCTCATCCTTAGTCGCCTCCTTTTCGGTGCGGAGACCTGGACATTTCCAGACCAGAGGACAAAGGAATATTTGCATGGGAGCATCATGAGCCTTCTCAAGCGACTCCTGCATTGCCCTGGTCATTGTCCGATTTCAGATGAAGAAATCTTGTTCCGCACCAAGATGCCATCGCCAACCACCCTCTTGCGCCTTCGTAGGCTGAGATACCTAGGATCACTGCTGGCAGTTGGAGACACAGCAAGCTGGGGATTGCTCAACCAAGATCAAGCTTGGCTAGCATTGGTTAGAGACGACTTTAGATGGATGTGGCATCAACTACACCACTGCTGCAGTCTTGGGGACCCTGCTACCCATCTGCAGAGATGGCTTGAAGTCATCCAATATCATCGAGGATACTGGAAAAGACTCATCAGACGTGCCACTGAACACTCTATAGGAGTGCAGGATCGCGAATTCCTTGTTGCCTCGACACATCTGCGCTTCTTGGAGGGCCTAGCTGCGGGACAGTTTGTGACCCCACCAGCCCTGCCGGATCAATGGCAAGACCGCCCTGGCCCACAAGCATACGGCTGCATGCAGTGTGGCAGAGCTTGCAGATCCTTGGGAGGAGAAGGCGCACATATGTATAGAGCACATGGAGAAGTGAACCCAGTCAGGCAACTCATGGCCAGCACTCAATGCGCTGCTTGTCTGACTGAATATTTCACCACGGGTAAGCTCAAGATGCATCTCAGACGATCCTCTGCCTGCCGCGTCACCCTGTTGGGAAGAGGACACAGAGAAATTGTTCAGCCGGGATTGGGCTCAAATGAGGATACAGAGCGACTTTTGCAATGGGACAACAAGGTACCGCCTTTAACTGCATCGGGGCCACACCTTCCAGCAGTCCCAGGGAGAGATTTTGATGTGGAACATCAGACACTCTACGAGGCGCTCATCCTGGGCATCATGGACATCGATACGGCCTCCTACGAAGCCTTCGCCCGACGATGTATCCAAGAACAACCGATCTCTTGGACGAAGTGTCGATTGACGCTGCAAGAAGCCTTGCGACAAATTGCAGATGGATTTTTAGATGTAGAGACCACTCATCTTCAGACGTGCACAGCCATCTTACGCCGCCTTGCCACTGTGGAAGCTTGGCCTTTCCTCGAGCATGTACCAAGTGGATCATATCCTACGGTGCCGTCGCTGGAAGAGATTGCCAAGAAGATTGAGGACACTCAAATTCTTCTGGACAGACAGGCGGTTCCCCGACCAGTGGGCAAAGAGCGTGTTTTCCTGCACGCCTTTTCCGGGCGTCGACGACCGGGAGACCTCCAGCATTATCTTGAAGCAGCCTTTGCGCGCCAGTCTGAAGGAGTGCTGCTTCATGTGGTGTCGATGGATGTCGTTATAGACCCTGAATGGGGAGATGCCTGCAGACAGGAGACCAGAGATTTTTGGCTTCGTGGAGCACTTGATGGTTTCGTACAAGGAGGCCTGTGTGGCCCTCCCTGTGAGACTTGGAGCCAAGCCCGTTTTGCAGATCTGGGCGATGAACAAGGACGCCATCCACGACCTTTAAGATCTTTGGAATGGCTGTGGGGCCTCCCATCGCTTTCGCTGCGGGAACAGGGACAAGTGGCGGTTGGCAATGAACTACTCCTCTTCTCCATTGACCTGTTGATCTGCTTGGCGAGATCTGAAGGCCTAGGAGTTCTAGAGCATCCGGGCGAACCAGAGGATGAAACTAAACCGTCCATCTGGAGATTACCAATTGTACAGCTTTTGCGACAGCTGCCAGGGTTTGATTTCGTGGATTTTGCACAGGGGCTCCTAGGAGCGAAGTCTCCTAAACCCACACGATTTCTCACATTGAACATGGCCAGCTTGCCGCGTTTCTTGCACAGTCATCGCTTGTGCCCGGATCTGCCTCGGAGCTCAGCGATAGGGAAAACGCAAGACGGCCATTGGGCCACGACAAGCCTGAAGGAGTATCCACCGGCGCTCAATCGAGCCTTAGGTGAGAGTTTCGCTCACCATCTTCTGACACGTTCTTTTACTCATGAATCTGTGATTGACGATTTGTTTTTGGCTCGTTGTTGTTCCATGCACGTGGATCATTTTGGGGAACACTACGGTCCTGACTACAAGTGTCAACACAAGCTTTTTGGCAGAAGATGAAGCGACTCCTTTGTTTGGCAGTACAGAATAGAATTCAGCGCTCGCCGCGACTATTGCAGTCCCAAAAGGCCGTAGAAAAAAAATACATTATATAATATATATATATATAGATAGATATAGATTATATATATATATGTATGTGAATAGATAGGTAAGTAGAAAATTTATATCTTAGATTAGATGGATAGATAGATATGCATATATTGGGATATCCCTGGGAATCCAGATGCCCATGGCAATCCAGCATCGAATCCCTGGATATCGATAATCATTCCCCACCAACCAGATAGATGTGGCAAATCCAATGTCATAAAACATCAGTAATATCACCATAAATAGGTGGTCAGTATCATCCCCAAATGGTAGGTTTATTAAGTTTATGGCATTTACCACATTGCTTCCCATGTTTGGAACTCGCAAATGGTCATAGCCTACGGGCCGCTCGCTAGGAGCGTCTTGGGGCTGGGCATGGTAGCCTTGGCAATCTTCATGTCAACTGTGTCACTGGGCAGTGCTCCGTACGGATGGAAAAGTGGGTTGGATTGAAACCAAACAAATGGTATAGTGTTAGTAAAGCAATGAACCACACATATTTTTGACTGTTGGAAAAGCACCAAACAATGTATAATTGTTGGGGATGATTACTATTGCTTTACTAACATGACCATATATTTTCAACCACGGATTGATAAACCGCGGTTGACTTTTTACGGGGTATCTACCCCAAACATCGATGGGATTTCACGCATAGCCTGCAGTTTTTTTTGGTTCTTGGGAATCTGAACCTGGGAAATCTCAGCTCGTGATGCGGAATTTTTACGCAATTAGTCTATCTATCTGCAAGGCTATCGGTCTATCTATATAACCTTTCTTATCAATATACACAGGTAGATGGATAGAGAACAGATAGATAGATGAAGAAACAATCAATTGTCATGGAAGATTACCAGAAATCAAACCTCACCGGGTAGGAACCAAACCCTTCATCTTGGAGATGACGGTCATGGTGATGAGCCCCCCAAGCTGTTCTACAAAGTGATTGAATCCCTGCAAGAAAACTGAGATGGAACCCAAAGTGGCCATTTTGCAGACCCATGTTCAAGGTTCCAGCTGCTTTCAAGGTGGTTCTTGAGATCAACGGTATGGATTTTGCATGATTGCTGCCATATTCTTGCCAGCCAAATCTGGCAATGTGGCAACATTGGCAACTCCCAATGCTTCCCCAGTTTTTTTTGACCATAAAAAGTGCATCCCCCCAGCAAAACTGGAGCTTTCCCAACCCGTCCCTCGGTCCAATCCCAGGCTCTGGCGACGACCGGCGTGTTCCGCACGCTCGGTCCAATCCTGCGCCTGCGACCATGCGGAGTCGGTCGAGCGATCCGAGCGTCTGATGGAGTGGCATCAGGTGCAGAATCTCTCCCTTTATACTGGTTGATGGGGATTCCCAATGTATGTTTATTGTTTTAGATATGTTTTTTTTTTTTAAATGCCCCCATCATGATAAGAACATTGTCGTAGGGATTATACTAACCACATCTAGGGGATTATAGTTCATGAATTGTGATTGTCCTATGGTTCGTATTATTCCCCAATCAATCATCAACCAACTCCTCAGCCGGGTGATTCGGAAAATTGGCTACCCGTAAATCCATGGGTAAAATCCATGCTTTATCCCCTGTTTTAATGGCTGTTTTGCGGCTATTTATTTGGGGGCATACACCATTTTTAGACACATGAAGTGTTTGGTCCAAACACATGGGGAGTTTCGATCCAACGACACCTTGGATTCTAGGCGGTGGGGCGGTGGGCAATTTATGGAGATCGCTATCGAGAGACCACTGGCTGGTGTTTTCTAAGTTGTTTCAGTTTTTCATCCTTAAATACCGCGGCTCACCTACTGTAACATACTGTAACAATGGATTTTGGTGAATATCCCGACACAACATCCGACACGATTGGGCAATTCGTGTGTTGCTCGATATGTATTACGGACATCCTCACGTCCTCTATGGGGATATCCGCAGAGGGGCCCCTCGTTTTCAGCATGCTGTTTATGGTTGCATTTCAACACAAACAAACAATATAGCTAGATCAATTACATATCAACAAATCAATAGATAGATATTGGAGAAAGAAAGGGATAGAGAGGGAGGGAGCCGCTTAGTTTAACATAGTTTAACAACTTTTGATGGTTTAAGTATGTAAAACTCCCATGTTTCATGGTGAAACCATGGTGGAAGCGCCATTTTGCACAGGCCACGTCGAGCCACGAGCTTGTGGAGTCAAGGGCCTGGGATATCGAGCTGCCTATGGAGTGAGTCACGCGGGAGAACATGATGGAAAACTCAGCTGGATTTGTGGGAGATTCGTTGTTTCCAATGTGTATTGCGATAGAAAGATATAGAAAGTATGGACATAGGATCACATAGGATCACATAGGATCACATAGGATCACATAGGATCACATAGGATCACATAGGCGTATAAAGATTACATAGAACATCATAGAACCATTCGCTTGTTCACGGTGTTCACTGCCGTGTTCACATTTTGGTGAATCATCGGGAACCGGACATGTATCAAGATCAACAACAAATGGGGAAAAAATGCCAGGAATAAATTAATTTGGTGAAGATTGCCAACAATTTTGGATGGAAATGTTTGGTTGTCATTTCACGGGATGAAGTATGATGAAATCAACCGTGATTTGGAGGATCGCCAAATACGATCACATTGGATACTGGCAGTTGATGACACATGGTGAAACCTTGTATCTATAAGCTACACCGGGGTAACATAACTGCGCAGAATTCGTCTAAGGGAAAGTTTACCGGAACCCCCTACAGTTGGGCTTCAGAAACCATGGTTTCCTGCAGAGCTTCCTTCAAATATCAATCCATTGAACAAGAAATCATAGTAACTCTAGGTAATGCATCATATTTCTTAGCAATTCATGCTATCTAGTTGGTGTTTTTTTTACTGATGCCAGCCACACTTAGAGATACCGGGGGACACGGGTCAGCTGATAGCTGACGACGCTGCTGTTTCACCTTGGCCTTGGCAGTGACAATTCGTGGCTGGTGAGGGGAGAGCGATATCGAAAACGCTAAGCCCAGCCCAGAGTTCAAACTTGTGCAGCTATTGCAAGAACGCTATATTCTGTACTGTACATCTATATACATGTTACACATGTTCATGTAATTTCATGTGCACGACGGATTTGACATACTGACATATATGCGTGATGATTTGTGTGTTTTTATTTTTTTATGTTGGTTCTCGCGGCAACTGGGATACATCGAGGAAATAAACAATGTCAAATATTTTTGAGATTGCTCGGCTGAAATGATAAGCCCCCAACACCCATCCAGATCATCCAGGCTTGTGCCGTTGCAGCCTTTGAAAAGTTGTGTGGTGCGCAAATGTCATGACTTCCCAACGTTCCAGAAATGGAACTATATGGGGTTGAAAGGTGCGGTTTTTCTATGTTTTTCTGGTATACCCAGAAGCATCCCAAAACTGCCAGATGCGAAAAATGATGACCATCCTTGGGAATTGGGGTACGCCATTCACACCGATCATCGGAAATGGTTCCAGAAGTGCCGACCTGAACAAACAAAAAAACTCCCGACCTGCCACTGCGCGCTGCAGCTCAATTCAAACACAAAAAACAAATTGGATGTGACATGATGTGACCAAACAGTTTCAACAGAGTTGGCTTCAGATCCCATCAGATCAGCCATCCCAGCATCCCAGTCGCCAAAGCGCTGCTCCTTACCGTCCCCTCGCCTTCGCGACGGCGCCATGGACTGCACGATGGCAGACCATGACCCGGTTCGCTCTATGGCGAAGTTGAGCGACCTGCCGAGGTCGGATGGGTGATTCGAGCGATTCGCTGTTTTATTTGGGGATGTTCTGCTCTATTTTGGGACTATGTTTTTTAAATTTCTTTCTTAAAGCAGTGTTCGGATGTGTTCGGGACATTTGGGCACTGATAGGGATTTTCGTGCCAAATAGACGGGGAAAAAGACTTGACAATCCGAGGTACATGAGTTAGGATCTACCGCGTGGCATTTGACCGTGGTCAAACAGACTGAACCTCTGCAGTGGTTTCGAACCAGAGACTACGCCAAAAGAGGGCCAAACTAAGCAGATGCACCCAATGACATACTAATGGGTTGATTATTGGGGTAACTAATTACAATAATCACCATTCCCACATTCCCAATAGTACCATCATTAAATAGATGGCAAAAACCATCCCCACATTGGGATGGCAACATTACAATAGTTGGATTCTGATCGGATGGATGATGGATGTTCAAGTCATAGTGCAATCCGAATCAATCCGACCCTGTAACAACAGGGTCGATACTTCTGGCCGAGCAGTCTACATCTGGAAAACTTTCAAACGTTGAGTCAAATTCTGGCCACTTGGGGGGACCAGGGATGCTGCGATGATTGACTGTATATAATGATGCTAGGATAAAGCAAGGTGGCCCCACGCTGTCCTGAGTGCTGCAAGTTGGATTGCAGCAGGGGGATAGGTGAGACCCGACAGATGTAGTTGATGCATCTATGGAAACACGTTTGAGCCGACCACAATCCTGAAACCGGGATAGAAGCTTCCAAGATGGTTGCAGGTACCTGCCTCCCGAAATTGCCCAGCAAGATGCTGAAGAGACCCAAGCACGAGAACCATTGATTCTGAAGCTTTTGAGTAGCAACTTGGCTGAGAACCATTGAGTAGCAAAGCCCTTCCTTTTGGGGTTTATGGGGAGTGCCTTAAACACCTCCAGTTGTGAACAGGCTGATGCACCCCCTGGTCCTTCACTTCGCGCGTCTTTTTCAGTGAATGGAAGAAATGCTGCACCAGATCTGGCACATGTACTGAAAACCACAGACAAAGACACCAAAATAAACTCTTAAAAGAAACACGAACAACATCAGGCAACATCCCCCACACCAAAGAAACCAAGCCACTTCGTCAGTTTTGTGACCGCAGGTGATCCAGCTCCTCCCCCTGCGTCGGAGTTAGCCTTCGGCTTGAGATGTTTGAAGAACGCGGAGGAACAGAAGATGCCCACAGGCCACCCACGGGGGCCACGGGGGGCCACAGGGGCCACGGGGGGCCACAGGGGCCACGGGGGGCCACAGGGTGCCATGGGGGGCCACAGGGTGGGACAAGCTGGATAAGCCTTCAATTCTATGGGGGTATCTGTGGAATCTACACAGTTCCAGTTATAAGTGGTTATGACCTTAGTTATAGGCTATAATAGATGTTACATCCCAACTTATGATAACTCATGGAGGTCTATCGCCATGGGGATACCAAACTGAACCCCGTATGGGATGGTCATAAAGTGTGAGAGCCAACAGCCCTGACAGGCTTGGACTTCAAGATCGCCGTGTGCTCCTCCCTTTGGACTCTGTTCCTGGCCAGCGCGGACTCCAGTGGCCCAAGCTGTGGGCCGCTCTATGGCTATGCCAATCGCACCAAGATCCTGGACAACCTCCGGTCCTGGTTGTGTGTTTTGGACGCGGATCATCACCGGCCCTTCTGGCGGGAAGCCATCAGTGACGAGGAGAGGGATGCGGCTGAGCCGATCGCCAAGCTCTTCGCCCAACTGGATGTGCGTGTGGTGCTGCGCCTGCTGATTGAAGAGATCAGAAAAAGTCCCAGAACGGACTGTTCCATTAATAACTCCAAGAGACGGAGCCTGGATGCTGATTAAAACCGGTTCACACACACATATATATATATATTTGGGGGTGTTTTAGGGTTTCATATGGTCATTATATACGGTTTCATACTTTTAGGGAAGATCCATTGGACTAATATAACTTTGATTTGTTTATGTAGAGGTCTGGGCCATCGACCGGTCATAGACCGCCCCAGAATTGTCCGATTTATATGCAGTATGTCGGTTTGTATGACTATATTCATTAATATTAATTACGTAGAACCCACTTCAACCAATGGTAGAAATAGGTCAAGACCAAAATGTGTTAGTGAAAGTGTTCTTTTTTTTGGGCCAAGCAGTAAGACAAGGAACTACGTGCATCATTTGGCCAACCTGTGCATTGCCTTCAGCCATCTGAATGGTTCCATCTCCATAGCGCAGGGTGCAGAGTTGATGGAGCAATTGGCCGCGCAGGCAGGTGTCAGGGGTGATTATGGGCCCAAGTAGGGACTGTTTGGTATGCCAACAATTTGAGGAAGCTGCTTCGTTTTCACCCCCCCATTTTGCTAGATGGATAGATTTATCAGATCACTCACTTGGGTATTCAAGATAGGGAGATTCTCGCCTTTGTGTAACTGATGCCCAGCTAGTTCTCTATCCCTGCTACTCGTAGGTGTCGTTTCAAAATACTTCAAATCATTTCAAATGTATGATTCCTATGTGGGATCTGAAGCCAATTGGCTTTCCTTTTTGTCCATGTTACTTGGGTTCCTGGCTTGGCTCCAGAGAAAAGGCTCGCCACGTTTTTTCAGGTGGACGGCGTGCACGTCTACTCGCTCTTCTATGCCAAGATGTTGGCTCTGCTAACGCCCCGCAAACTGATTCCCCAGCTGCTGTTGGATGGTCGCTTGTGGCTGTGGTGGGGGCAGCTACCTGAAGGATTGCTGCCCAAATTCGATCTCATGTGGTTCATGCCCCTGGCACGCTTCGCCGAACTGAGATGGGCCAACAAAGTGGAGGAGGCTCTGGCTGAAAGCCAGATGCCAGGAAAGGCAGAGCAGTGGCCTGGTGGAATGGCGGCCAAGGAGTAGCTCCAAGATACTACATTTCACTTGATAGAGCTTCAGTTTTTTGCGTTCAAATGTGTCTAATAAAGATCAAGAACGAATGTGCCCAATTAAACTTGAACAGTCATATCTACATCAGGAATCAAAAACTCGAAGTGTCCAGCAAATGAAGGCGGCGGAGGGCGAGAGAGAGAGAGAGAGATAGGTTGAGAGAGAGAAATGCCAAGCAACTGGGGGTGTGCAAAGTAACAAGAAACAAGCGATGACCGGTTTTGGTCATTTTCAGTGATCAACATGATTGGGTGACGGTTGTTTCCCACATCAACATGAATCTCACCAACATGAATCTGAGCGAACACATCAAGCATTTATAAGAATGGCTGCTTTGACCTCCAAAACATAGCTACGCAGAAGCTGCCACATTTTTTTTTCTCTGACCTTTGCGCATCAGGTGCTGGAAGAACGTGCAGGAACAGCTTCCCTGGCTCATGAACAAAATCTGTCGCACTCTTTGCTTGCCCTTTGGCTCGCCCGCGGCAAAAGCCCTGGATGGAAAGGAACAGTCCTTCCCAGATGTTGATCGCTATGTGATTCCTGACGAGATTGACGCAGTGCTGCTGGGGAGTCAGTCTGCTTGGAAAGATGTCGCTTTCTTTTTGATCTACACCCTGGAGCCTGAACCTCCCAGAGGTAGCAATCATGGTGCTCCATCCATGTGGAACTTCTTGACCTTGCTGCAACGACGAATGAGGCCTTTCCTGACCCCTGCGACCTGTCAGGGGGAGTGGCTCTGGCACTGTGTCACTTTACTTCACAATCTGGTTTCCTTGTACTTCAGACGCATTTGCAAGGAGAGGATGTTGCCTTGCACCACCTCCCCACAGATGCTCCTGTCTGCGAATGCAGATCAGGCCTTCATTGAACTCATCATGCCCTTGGTGCGTGACCTGATGATGGTCCGCGGCCCCTACGAAATGGCCACCTCCATGGAAAACATCGCACGGCTCACCCAGATCTCAGCCATGCATGCCACCAGCCCACCAGTGGGATCAACAGTGGACCCCTTCAAGACAGACTTTCAATCCATGGTGATGCAATCCACCGACCTCCTAAACGATCCAACCCAATCAGCCCGGCATGTGTCCTTGCTGCGTGTGTTTTCATCCGTGGTGCCGGCCCTGAGCCTCCAGATGCCCTCGGTGATTGGTGAGTTGTTGCCTTTGGTCTTGCAGGGCATTGATCCAACAGATACGCCTAAGACCATGAGCTCGTTGCGGTTGTTGCTCTGTTTGCTGATCAATGTGCCCTGCTTGGATTCCAATGATTGGCAGTTGGGAGACCATTCATCGCATGAATGTAGGCTACGGTGGCCACTGCCCAAAGATTGCAAACTGAAGGTGGGAGATCCCGACTGCAGCGCCACAGGCAGGATTGGGCCTGGGGCTGAATCGATGGAGCTGATCAGACTGAGCGCCAACCCCGGATTCAGAAGCCCACACCCCTAATAGTGACAATCTGAGTGACAATCTGAGTGACAATCTGAGTGACAATCTGAGTGACAATCTGCCATTAAAATGATTCCCAAAGCTGGATCTTTCGGCAATGTCATCTCCTTCAGTTTTGGCGACCCATCAATTCACCCAGTTTGTTTGGTTAAACGGTTAAACTTAACTCCCCAACCAGATCCAACCAGGCCTGGTATCCTCCATGTTGCCGCCCTTTGCCATCGAACTGGTGGAGCGTGCCTGCGACTACGTCACGCGGATTCCCAAGCCTCGTGCGGTGAAGAGTGGCAGGATCTCCCTGGAGCTGGCGACCATGGGCCTGCTACATGGAGCCCTATGCATTGCAGGGTCGCAAACTGATAAGGACGGCTGAAGCAAAACTGCTGACACATGCTGGGATTGAAATTAAAGGTGTCCAGAGTGTCCAGCTCCAAAATGTTGCAAATGGATGCAAATGGCATGCAAAGCCGAAGGTTCCAGCTCCCAAATGCTGCAAATAGCATAGAAAATGGCCAGGAATCCAAAAAAACAAACTAGAAACTGCACCCCGGAGGAAACCTACAAACAGATGCTGGATGTTCTTTGCCAATTTCTCGGATCGCACCTCTTGCCCGATCAAGTGAAACCAGCCGTCCTCTTGGTCTTCGCTGTGGTGCGCGCATGCCCAGAGATGGCCATTCCGGTGCCTTTGGCGTTTGTTTTAGCGCCCTGATGGGGGACAGCTGTTCACCGACACCCATCGTAATCCAACATGGCAAGAAATGGGGAAACCCCGATTCCAGTCAGGAGTTTGGCCCTTCAGCTTTTATAGCGTGGCTGCAGGCGGCAAGCCAATCGGATCAGAAGGGATCCCATTTGAAATTTTCTGTCTTGAGACATGCTTGCCCCTTTTTCATGTTTTTCCGCCTTTTTTCTAAAAGCAAGGTAGTGCTGCCCTTGATTTTCAAGAAGTTGCTCGTGCATCAGCCCAAATCAACAGTGTTGCCACTGCATGAAGCCGGCGTGCCTTGGAACACTCAGAAAGTGGGTTTCGAGTTGACGATTGGAAAATCGAATAGGTAGAAATTGAAACCTTTGTATGCCTCAATGTATGCCTTTGTTTATTTTTTGGAACCACTTTCCTGCTTTTTTTTGGGGGTCTACAATTAATAAACACATTCAGAAGGATTAGGGAATGGGAGGAAGAATGAAAGGCAGGTAGGGGGAAGGGAGAGCAGGAAGGCGATCCGCCATGATCCGCCCATCTTGGCGTACCCCAAATGCGTGATGTGATGCAAAGTTGGAGGAAAATAAAGCCTGCCCAGGTGGATAAGTGGAAGGGAATGCTTTTTGGATAAAAGTTCTTTGGGGGTAACAGTCAGATACACTCAGGCTCTGACAAGGTTTGTGAGTCCTGCTCTGGCCATTCATGGCACTTGAGAGAAGGTCATAATGTCATAATACTTCAAGTTCCAACACGTTCCAAATGAAAATCGCTGCAGGTATCGGAAAGCGAGGCCAAATGGTGGCTCTCCCTACTGTGCTCGGCTGTCCGTTGCGGTGGGGCGAACTTGTTGCCTTTTCGCCATGAGTTGGAGATGATCATGAGGGCCACCTTCCTGGATGAGCGGGAAGCGGTGAACAAGCTGGGCATGAAGCTGCTACTGGCACTGGCAGTTTCAGTGTGTTTTGATGCTGTTTGTAATTAGTATTCCTAAAGGATCCTAAAGATCCTAATTTAATTACATATTAATTAGGTTTTGTAATTACTGTCATAATCTGTACAGTACTGCTTTTCCCTCAGAAAATGGGATGATGATCCTACTTGACTAGACATGTAATAGACTATGTTAATCAAAATCGCGCTTCCCGGGCTGATGGTTTTTAACCAATGCTCAACAGGTTGCGTCGCATTCTCTACAGTTTGACGGCTGTCTATGTCTCCAACGACTACCGCCTTTGCAACGACTCGGTGTGGCAGAGCCTGATGGGCTGCCGCTTGGGCTCTGCCGCACCCAGTGAGGCAGGTCTGAGCACCTTGGTCTGGTCTGGCGCTCAGCCTCCCTGGTGGCTGACGGATGACACGTCGGCTGTAAAGTGGCACATGCCCTCCGAAGAAGAGGTCAGGGGGTCAGGGCGTGGATGTTCATGGTGGGATGGTGCGGGCTGGAACGGCTGGAGGATTGAAAGGTTCTAACTTCTAACTGTTACTACCTAGTTCTTACATGTTCTTACATGAATTTATAGGTGCTGGTCTCAAACTGGTGGATTTTGACGGTTTACCATACTTGCGTTGCTGCTCCAAGCTATGATAAACCATGGGATTTGTGGGAAAGGAACTTCCAGATGTTCCTGGGAACCTGACATAGCTGTGAAAATATTGCTGGTCTTCCACCGCTAAGACAGCTTCACTCGCTTTTGCATGATGATTTGCATGTTGTACGTTGGGTGTTTTTCAAGTGCCTAAGTGCCTCGCTCCAGCCCAACCTGATCTTTCAGGTCGCATGGGCCAGAGATTTGGTCTTTGGCGTCCTCCTTCAGGTGGCTGAGATGCTGACCGCCACCATGGGAATGGTCATTCCATCTCTGGACACTGCTGGGGCTTCCACTACATGGCTGGCGGGGCTTTCCAGCAATCTTCCCAGCAAGAAGAAGTTGGCGCACGGTGCAGTACTGGGGATCCGATTGGCCATGCAAATTCTGAGAGGTACCTGTGACCTGTGGCCTGATGAGCGGAGCAATGAAGAGTTGAAACTGCGCCAGCTTCCGAGCAATTTGAAGATTGCAGGTGATACAGCCAAGGTCATTTTCGACTGGCTGTCTACTGTGCTTCTGTCTGCCTTCAAGATTCTGGCTGCTCAGGAACAGTATGGCTCGGTAGCACCCACCAGTGGCAAACTGGATCCAATCGACGTGTCCCGTGTGATGAGGAAGCTGTTGAAATGTGTTGCAGAGCTGATAGCGGCCTTCAGTGACACGCACCCCAGCAGCTTGAGGCTGTTCCCCAGCTTGAGGCGACTTGCTTGTTTGGCTTTTATTTCTTATGGTGTTCCCGCTAATCCTTCTATGCGATTAGGGGGACTACGGTTTGGTTCTTCACACTATGTAAAAGGATTGCGACTGCATCTTCACCCGTATCCAGCACGACGCGGCCGTCCTCCCTCTGCATACTTTTTAAGATTGATGAACATTGATAGCTTCCTTGCAAGGAGGCGAATGCTATTTAGTCATATTTAGTGTTGAGGTGTACAGCTAATTTTAGGATCTATTTGGTATGATATCCCTAGTTGTTTGTTCCAATTTTCGATTCTTATCTACTCAAGCTAGGCTCTCACCAGTTTTCTCCATCCTAGGCAGCCCTTTTATGCCCTGTTCACATACCTCACTGGAGGCATGTTGAGAAGCACGCGGCGGGCTTGGCGTTGCAGTCCACATCATTGGAGATGCTCCACACGCATTCGCGCTGGCGCGACTTGCCGCGCGTCTGGTGGGTGGAGCGGGTTGCTGATACGATGGAGAACCGGGTGCACGAGCGGCGTGGAGGGCACCGATACCAGGGAAGACGCAGGGAGTTGCTGGCCCTGTTTCGGTGCGGCTATGTCCGGTGTTCGGCTCACATGGGGGCACATCTTGGCACATCAAATCATTAAGATATCTTTAAAAAATCTTACAATCGTTAATGGCTTTTGAATTGCGAAAATCTTGTGTGACGGATTTTACGGATGGGACGGCGATCGCCAGTGTGCAGTCATGAGATGTCATGAGTAGGACTACCACAGTCATCACTGAATCATTTCGACCCCAATTTAGTGAATAGCTTTGGAAGGGGCTTCGCTTGTCCTCCAAGCGCATCCATCATCATCTATCATCTATCTATAGAGAAGTACTGCGTGGTTTCTGAAGTCAGCAGTATTCCTGGCATATCTGGCATGTGATCCCTTACACATCCTTAAGATTCCTTAAGCCCATTAGGGCAATGCTTGTGTTACTACATGTCGCTCTTTTTGATTCACACTGCGCCTATGATTCCAATGGAAGAATCATCCCAACTGGCAGAAACACCAAATTCGTAGGCAGGCACCGTTAGAGTTAGAATTTGAGGATGTTTGCGGCAAGTATATAACTCGCCTACCCCGGAACAAATACCCAGAAAGACCAGCCTTCTCTTCAACCATTAAGCTGCTGTTAAAAAGAGTGTAGAAAGAACAAAGGAAGATGGATAGATAGAAGATTGGAAAGTAAGACAGGAAAGAAAGAGGGAAAGTAAGACAAGACGAACAGACGGATAATCGGATATATAATATGTAGATAGATATGGAGCGAGATGCACATAGATGCACACACACACAGAGACAGATGTTCAAGAACAAAACATGCATGTGAATATAGATGTGGGTAATTATCATGGGTCAAGCATGGGTTAGCCATAGCAATTGCATGCAATTGCAAGTGGCAAGTCATCAATGAACGTGAGACGTGAGCGATAAATTTTTCAGATCCCTACCTATGTTGTACAGTCCAAATCACCATGGAATGGGCAGCATCCTCCATGGAATGAGACCAAGGGAGCATATTGTTGGCTGTATATCGCATACAACATGTCCCAGAACACATTCCCATACTTTGGTTATGCAATGTTATTATGATTTATTATTTATTATGCATATATACATATATATACATATATATACATCTGCATACATATCATATATCACCATATATCCATATATATCCCATCATGGTTATCGGACGTTATCGGTACAAATCGTGTCCCTGGGGCCGTTATGGGGACCTTCCGCTTCACCTTCTGACGAGGCTCATCGAAGAGCTCACCAAGCAGATCTTCAGCAGCGGATTCTCCGCAGTGCGCTCGCGAGCCATGGAGACAGCCACACGGCAGTACTGGCATGCCATGGCCGTGGCGAAACATGATGACATGGTCGGCCTGTTTGATCTGTTTGGCCAGTGGTGATAAAAAGTGTGGATCATTTAGTTTAGTTATGTTTAGTTGGTGTCGCACATCATTGACATGTTTGATGTTCAACCCTATTGCTCTAATTTGGATCATTTAGGATGATCCTAAGTGCATCGAAGTGCCGAATATGTTTCAGGAGCAGCAGGGTTGTTTCCACTGCCCTCATGCTGTCTGCTGAAGAGAAGTTATTTTTCAGGGGGTTGAAACCGCCAAAAAAAAACGGTGGAGTTATTGATCTAGGGCAGTGTAGACACATATAACATATAGCTACCACATATATAACTATTTGTAGGACGACCAAGAGGTTTTGTTCAGAATCCATCGTTAGGTGCAGAACGATGTAGGGGGGACTCCAAAAACAATCAACAACAAATTATAGGGATTTTTTGACACACTATCCGAGAAGGTGACAGCGTTACATTGATTCATTCATTTATTCATGTACTTGCCTATTACCCTCTGGTAATTTGTTACATAGCTATTTTTAAAATGGCCATAGAAATAGTGAGTTTTCCCATTAAACATGGTGATTTTCCATACTTATGTAAACGTTTACCAGGCCGGGTATTTGCAACAGATTTCCCAAGGTGGCCATGGCCGTTCAGTACCATCAAGGCTGTCGCTGGCCGTTGATCCGTGATGTGCTCCTGCCCGCGCTGGCAAAAGAAACCAATGCAATCCTGCGGTGTGCTGCGCTCATAGGCCCGGAACAGGTTGAAGGTTTGGCTTAGCAGCTTAGCAGCCCACCATTCACGTTTTATAGGACACAAAATGAAAAAAAGATGTATTGAGATAAATAATGCACATTAACACAGGCCCATTTCGGACTCAAAAACCACCCTGAGCTCCAATAAGACCAGCTTTTCATACCTTTTGATCACTACCAGTACCGAAGCCTGTCCCAAAAAGATCAGCTGGAACGGCCCTGAGGTGATGCTGCGGACAAGGAACAGCAGCGATTGAATGATGCACTCTCAGGCCTGGCTGCATCACTGGCTGGAGGCATTCAAGGCTTGGTTTGGGGCGTTTGGCGCCGTGGCACCTGCCTCAGCACGGGACTGGTGAGATATGCGAAGCACTTGCAAAGCACTTGCGAAGTGCTGGCAGGTTGAGAAGGCACCTGTCGAGACCCGGAAATCGCAGACAGAGAGAGAGACAGAGAGATGGCTGACCCGTTTTGACTACCGGGTAGTGACTACCGCTTTTCATACCTTTCCGCATTTTCAGCTACCAAGGCATGGATGATGCCGCCAAATTGGGCTACGACTTATGCGAGGCCATCTATGCGGCCACGCGCGTGGGGCAAGGCCAGGTAGGGGACACCAAGCGCTGCGAAGTGAAGCCCAACACCGTGGCCAAACTCATAGGTGCCTTGAGGCCAGGGAGGGCTATTTATTTATCTCATTTTTTTCTCGCGGCTGGTTTTGTTTTTTTGGGGGGTTCCTGGTTCCATGCTTTCCTGCTTCTCTGCTTACTGCTTTTCTGCTCTTTGCTTCTCTGTTTTTTGCTTTCCTGCTTCTCTGCTTGTCTACTTCTCTGCTTTTCTGCTTTTCTGCTTCTCTGCGTTTTGCTTTTCCTGCTTTTTGCTTTCCTGCTTCTCTGCTTGTCTACTTCTCTGCTTTTCTGCTTTTCTGCTTCTCTGCGTTTTGCTTTTCCTGCTTTTTGCTTTTCCTGCTTCTCTGCTTTACCTGCTGCTTTTCTTTTCTGCTTCTCTGCTTCTCTGCTTTTGTGCTTCTGTGCCTTTCTACTTCTACTATTCTACCTTTGTCTTTTCTTCAGTCATGTGTTTTGCTGCTCTACTTCCTGATCTTTCTGCTCCTCTGCTTCTCTGCTTCCTGTCTTTACTACCTCTTTGTTTTTTTCTTTTCTTTTGCTTTATTCTCTCCTGTTGGTATCCCAAATGAAACCCTATAGACCCTAGGTGAAACCCGAAGAAACCTTAAAGAATTCCTGATAAGAACTCCTGATAAGAACCCCCTACATGAAACCCTCAATGAACCCTAAAGAAACCATAAATTAACCTAAAAGAAACCCTAAAGAAACCCGAAAGACACCCTAAATGAAAGCCTAAAGAAACCCTAAATGAAACCAGGATGAGTTTCCAGTCATTGCCAGCTCAGAGGTAATAGTGGGAGAGGGACTTTGCTGGCGCTGGAGATAGAACATATGTCAAATAGTTGGCAGAGTGGTTCAGCCTTTGTTGTCAAATTTAATCCCTCAACTACATCAGAATGCATATGGATGGACCATAACATACCATAACGGTGCTTGGAGGTTTGGGGCCTAAAGGGATGGCCCCTGCCATCCCTTGCTGCCCCATCCCTCTCAGGCACTGGCTGGATTGCCGGGAGATTCAATGTTGGGCTGCCACGCGGCCTGGAACGTGCACGGTGCCGTCCCTGCAAGACGAGTTTCACTCGGAGAACGACGGGGATGCGGAGAGGGGGAAGCTGCCGCAGGGAATTCGCGCCATTCGCAACTGAGTCGGCATTGAGGGCATTGGGGGCACAACCAGCTGTTGTGCCACTGAAATATGATGGTTGTCTGTGATAGTGCCGGAGATAGTGATGGAACTCCAATAAAAGTGGCTCATAGCCATCAGGAAAGTAATATAATTAGAGGAATGTCATCTCCAGATTAACAACCACCCAGGTTCTTAATAGGGGGTTTCCAATTTTAGTAGCATAGTAATATATAGTAATGTAATGTAGCATCGTACATTATAGATCATTATAATTCAGTATAGATCATTATAGTATAGTCTATCACAGGCTATCACTATCTTAAGGGATCTTAAGGGTACCCTCTGGTAATTTAACGTAGCTATGGAAAATCACCATTTTTAATAGGAAAATCCACTATAAATGGTGATTTTCAATAGCTATGTTTAATTACCAGAGGGTAACCACCCAATGAAAAGTGAGGCTTTCTTTGGCTTTGGCCAGGTACCGTGTCCCAAGCGTTGGACCTTTGTGACCGCGCAGATTGTCACTGGAGGGCGCAGATCATGGCGACCACCATGAGCTTGGCCTTGTTGAACTCCCTTGGGCCCACTGGTTCCCCACCCGATTTGGAGGCATCCCTGGAAGCTGAGGCGTGGAAGATTTGGGAATTTGGGATGCTACATAGTCGAAGCATAAATGCGTGGTTTTTAATTCGAACCATGAGGAAGTTTGGAAGTTCGCCGTTTTTTTTTTCTGGGGGGATAGTTTGGCAACCAGTGTAGTTGGGGAGCGTGGCTATGAACCCCATGACCAGAAGCTCAGGTGCGCGAGGTTTGGATGAAGTGGGGCAGATGGTTGGTGAAGTGCATCGAACCCAAGGGTCAACCTGGGCTTCATTTGCTGGCTGTGCACGGCTTGCTGTTGATGTTGAAGCGGTCCTCTGAACCCACACAGATTCTGAAGAGCACGCATCTGGCAGAGCTGAAAATTGCTCAAAGCTCCTTCTTCCAGAACTTGTTGCAGGCCTGAATCGCTTATTTTGCCTGTGATTATTCTGAGCTTGAGTGGGATGAAGCATTCCATTTACTAGTATCTCCATTGTCTTTGGAATGCTGGCTGTGGGTAACACTTGACACTTGAAATCAGCATGACAGCTGTGATTCTGCCGACGCGAAGGTCATGCCACCGCTCCACCATGAGGATTTGATGGCCACTGCAGATGACCAAATGGGACAGAAGAGTGAGCCAACCAGAGATCCAGTGAATGTGACTCTACCGAAATGTGGGAGGAATTTTCAGAAGATCATGGGACGTGTCCACGAGACAACGAAATGTGACTATCCTACTATCCTAGTACTATCCTACATTTTTCCCGATATGGCTTTGTCTGAAAATTTACGGAAACTCACCTAATTTTATCTTCAACCAGTACATGTTCATACATGTTCATATACATTTGATAACATATATATACATATGACATATGTTCTTTCTTTTTTTCTCCCTTCGAAATGGTCATTTCATGGGCTAAATCCATCGGTCCATCCGCCCCCCTGGTCCTTCATGACTGAGGTCATGACCAGCAGTGGCTTCTTCGATGTTTGGCCCCGGATTTGGCTAAGGAGATCATCCCGATCCTTCTCCATTCGAAACGTTTTGTTCTGGCAGAGCTATGTGAAATTCCTCAAGTCCCAGGTCCCGGCAGCCGTGAATCGGGATGAATCGGGATGAACGGCGATGGCCATGTTTTTTGTTTGGACTCGATCTGTTCCCTGAATCTTTAGATGGACATTTGCGGATGAATCGACTGGGCGAATGTATTCATCTACATATTAATCTTTTAATGTTTAGATGCTGTATTTCTGTCACGTAGACACATGCAGATACCTGCATGTTTGCCCGTAACTACACGTTCACACTCACATTCTTCCACTCACAAGCAATGGTGTTCATAGAAACACGCACCAACATACTGGAATGTGGAGGCAGGGAGACATGGTTTTGGAATGATTCGGATATATCACACACACATACATATATATATATATATATCATATTATATATATTACATATATCAATCAGTCTTAAGATAGTCTGAAATCATCTGAAATCCTTGCATCAGCCCGCATGATGATAGTGTAACCTTATATTATATTCATTCACCTGGCCCCAACCACCATATAAATCTGCCAGTCGGAAAGGGCAGCCACCTGCTGGTTATATACCATAAATTCACCAGAAATCCATCATAAAACCAACGTGAATCCACAAGTCAACTGATTCATGGACTATCCATTTTTTAAGGCCATATAGGTATGATGTTTTCCAGCACATCCATCCAGTGAATCAACCCATAACAAATCCAACATCCATCGTAAATCACCGGATGACCTCTTTTTCTGGCAAAAGACAGCACGTTTCCTTCGCAAAAAAAAACAAAACGCTCAAATCCACCCATCAAAATAAACATCCACCACACAAACAGAAAATCACCCAACATCATCACCCAACAGTTTTTAGGGCAAAGAATCACCATTCTAAAAAGAACATCCCTTACCATGAATCCAAATTATCGACCCAGTACAACCCCGGCATAGATTCATCATAAACATTGAAACACCATAAAGCATCATAAATCACAATAAGATTAAAATCACCAACAATTATCAACAATTACTATATCATCACCATCAGGGAAAACACACACACACACCAAAAACACACCCCAAAAGCTCTTAAAAACACTTCAGAAACTCTTAAAAAACACCTCAAACACCTGTTTGTTTACAAAAAAACGTTGAAAAAAACAAATGCATGAAAACCGACCAAAAAACTGCAAATCTTCCATCGTCAGGTCTCCCCAGAGGCGTTGCTGGAGCTGCTCCGCCAGGGCGCCGAGCAGCTGGCTTCGCAGCCGGTGGCGGAGGCAGAGTTCCAAGCCGCCTTTGCGGAACTGGCCGCAGGGGGGCTGCGGGCGGTGCGGAAAGCGGAGGATAAGGAGCTCAGGGAACCTTGGATGAATTTTCATGGGATTTGTATGAATATCATAAAATATCATATATATATACATATTATATATTATATATATGTATATGTTGGTAGGAAGCAACAACCAATGGATCTCCTGATCCCGTCCCAAGAATTCCCAAGAGGTCCCCTGACCCAGAACGCACGGACGCTTTTTACCTCTGTGGCATGGCTGATGCAAGTGAACATCAAAGGTTCCTGACGTGGGAAATGAGCCAAGGCCGCAGATGTCAGGCTTGGCATATGGATGGGATGCTGTGGCAAAAACATCCAAAAACTATCTAGAATAACGACGTCGGCAAGCGTCCAGCTTGTCATAGAAAATTTGCATCACTTGGACTCAACCCGTGAGTGTACCACAGCCAACGAGACTCTGTGCTCATCCAGTCATAGATCGCTCACTTCAGACGGCGGGTCACACTGGTGCCAGGAATCACTGGCATCAGACCACTGGAGCTCTGCTGCGCATCACGCACGATGATGTACTGCGCAAAAGCCAGCAAATGACCGCCACTGGCGGATTCTGCCTGACCCTTGGCCCACGGACATAACGGATGTCTTCATGAGATCCAGATTCATAGGCTTCTTGAAAGCTCACCTCCACACTGCCCTTCTCGGCAATGAACTTACCAAACTGAATGACGAGCCTCCCCAAGACTTCATGGAATCCACCCCGGGCTTTCCACGGGCGGTATAAGCCAAAACTTCGGCAATGGGCTCTGGAGTATAAACGCGGCGATGGCCATCACCTTCAGCTGGCTCACTCATGCGACGCTTGGACGCATCATTCATAGCTTGAAGGTCCTCTTCGATGAAATCAAAGCTATTGAGAGTGGCAGCATCAGGCTCTTCCTCAGTCACTCGTGCACGAGCAAGGAGGTTGTGGAGCATCAACTTCTCACTGGATGAAAGGGGCTGGTCAACAGGCATCATGATGAACGCACGACAAAGCTAGTGCGTCACACAGGGGCGATCTTGAACATGGATGTTTCTGTGCGTTCCCACTTCAGAAACATGCATGGGTCATTGATCCTGACAAGTTACATATCAGTTCCCTCACACTGCAAAACGTCTTTAGGTCATGGATCACGAGCCTAAAGGAAACTATACGAAAAAAATATGTATCAGGCCATGTTCGGAAACCACTATTAACTACTAGATCTGGCTTAGATTTTTCTCTATCTCTCATCGGCTTGAAGCTGCAACACTGTTTGCTCCGGGGACACTTGGTATGTGCACTGACGGCTACATGCGCGCAAAAGGTCAGCTGGATCTCCGGCATTCTTGGCTAAGGAGTCAGCCAGCATACGATTGGTTGGGACCCATCGCACCCTTCAAACGCTCAAGGCTTTGACGCAGAATGACGATGTCTACTGATGTACGACGGTCCTCAATTGAAGTTGGAGAAGTCGCTGCAAATCAGATGATCATACAAACTTTCACAGCCAGTGATGATAACCGAAGGTCTTGCTTGCAAATGCTTCAAATAATTTCGAACATCACCAATTCCATCATTCCATGTAGGGCCTCTGCCCAAACGAGGGATGCCCACTCCAATGTGCCAGTTGCTGACACCATAGCTTGAGATTCAGCTGCCAACGTCGATCCCACGGCCCTTGGAAGTTAAAAGGGCTTCCATGTTGCTGGTTTCGTTTCATGTCTTCAATTTCCACTCTGAAGGAGCGACGAACATCCTTTGCCTGGTCAAGGCAACGGGCTTTCTGCAGACGGCTGATTTCAGCACGTTTATCTTTCGAGGTAGTGGCAAGTGGCAAGAACCTCTGCTACTTCCTCTTCAGGATATTCGGGTTCGTCCTCAGGTTCTGTCTTAACATACTCAGCTATGAACCACTCAACATCATCAAATCCAGTGACTTCGTCATGTTCAGATGAAGCAGTTGCAGAATCCAGAAAACCATCCTGAACAAGAGCGGCTGCCTTCTTGCGATTGTTGACAAAATCAAGATAGCAGCTTCGCATGGCACGACTGATTTCGTCACCGCGCGACACTCCCATCGATCGGCCTTTGACTACGGCCTGCTGTTCCTCATTGAGGCCACTCCATTTCAGCAGCATGAAGCCTCTGGCTTCTTCTGGCATCTTCACATTGCCTTTGCGCTCATACTTGTCAGACACTTCTGAGGCACGGCTACTCCACTGTCGAAGACTTTCACCCTCCTTGTAATAGAGGCTGAACACTTCCTTCAACACCTCGGCAAGCTCATCGGTGTCATCTTGCTGAGGAAAACGCCTGTCCAGCAACTTCAGCAAAGTGTCCTCTCCACCTGCCTTTGGTGCTCCAGATGTTCGACTGTTTCTAATCCCTTGGCTTTCAACAGTGTAAAAAAGTGTGGACCTCTTGCTTCTATGGGCAGCTTATCCAGAGTAGCAAACTTATTCACCAACCAGAGTTTCCAACGGCGATACTCTTTGTCTTCCGCCTCGCCACTGAAACATCTCACATTTCCACCCTGATCAGAGGAATCTGCATGATGACTCATTGGATGCTGTGCTCACCTTTGTCTTTCCTAAGGCTGAGAAAGCTCCTGCTGGTTTTTTTCTACGGACCAGCTCCGCTACCAATGTTGGTAGGGAGCCACAACTAATGGATCTCCTGATCCCGTCCCAAGAATTCTCAAGAGGTCTCCTGACCCAGAACGCACAGACGCTTTTCACCTCCGTGGCATGGCTGATGCAAGTGAACATCAAAGGTTCCTGACATGGGAAATGAGCCAAGGCCACGGATGTCAGTCTTGGCATTTTGATTGGATGCTGTGGCAAAAACATATGTATATATATATATATGTGTGTGTGTGTGTGTGTTATATTTAGATATATGTATACAAATAGTTAAATAATTTAAATCAATTTAAGCCTTCATTTGCGGGGCCATGGAGCGTTAAACTTCTAAGCATCACACACTAAGACTGATGGCTGCCACCAAAATATGGGTTTGAACCATCCAAGGAACGCGGTGTTTACCCCGTATTCAGGGACGACTCATGGATGGCCACAAAACGGCAAAAGAACATAAGATTCACTTAAGAGTTTTGGACCATTGGACAATGTGTTTAAGCATTTTAAGTATCAGACCCAACTTGGAGGTGGTTATATAATTTGTCCCATTTTGTCGAAATCAGTCTTGCTTGTTGGTTGGTTTGGCGTTCCTGTGGGGTCTGTGTTGCTGTTGCTCGTTCTTATGAGGTGGTTGTTCGTCCTGGCTGGTCCCGTAAAAGATCAATGGATAAAACCTACCCCAGTATCTACCCCAACTGTTGGAAACATGGATGTAGGATGAATGTGGCAAATCATCATACAATTCCAGCCAAGGATCGGTTGTGGACAGCCTTTCGGCCCTGGCTCCTCTCGGTGTTTCTTGGATGAGGGTAAAAACCCCATTTATTTTGAAGATGTTTCGAACATGAACAAATGTCAAACATGTGGGGATGGGTCAAAACCGACTATAACCATGTTTGTGAGGAATGCCATGTATTTTGGTGTTTACCAGGGTACCAGGGTTTTGACCCACAGTAATGTAAATCAACAAGTTAAGACCCATGTTATTACCATGTTTTCTGATCCCCTAACCTGGAGCCAGGCTGCAGCAATCCTCGGAGGAACGGCTGGGCGGCTGGTGCGATGCGGTGCGTTTCATGGTCACCGGCTGTAAGAGACCGAAGCTGGCAGCAATGTTCTCCAGACATGCAGTGGAAGAGGACGGGCGGGGGGCATCCCACAATCTTCCCATGACATGAGTTGGTACTGTATTTTGTAGGTGTTGGGACCGGGATGATCCGATTATTTGAGAGAAAGTGATCGGGATTTCAATGCTGGAGTCTCATCTGGGTTCGAAGGACGTGCAGTTCCTGGTTCCACTCTTCAATTTCGTCCTGTGTGGCGATGGGGAGTTGGAATGTAACTCCTTGAGCTGCACGCTTCCCCCGATCAAATTTGACTATGAAAGCTCAGCAGATGCCTCAGACAGCCCCAAGGAAGGCTCATCCTTTGATTCATTCAAGCGACTGCGGCTGCTGATGTCACTGTTGATTGAGCCGTCAGCCATCAAGACCATGGCCGCTAGTGAGGAGTTCTGCAAGAAGTTGGTGGAAACTTTGGAGTTAGGACTTGGCCATCCGTACAAACAATTGCGAGAAGAGGTTGCAAGAGGCCCGGCAAAAGTGCAAGGTTTGAATATATGTTTGAATAATGTTTGAATGTTTTTGGAAAGGAGTCGTACAGGATCTTGTGATCCAAAGGCAATTTGGGCCAAGGTATCGTTATCAAACCTGCAGGTCTCTACTTCATCGTTGAGGCAGCATCTCATGCTTCTCAAGCACTGGGCCCATCCTCGGCCGCGGGGTTGGTTCGCGTTGGTACATCGCTGGAACGGTGGTTTGCCACAGAAGCCCGCAGACTCAGTGGGCTGTTGCGGGCTGACAACGCAGCACACGTCAACAACACGGCAGAGGATGGTGCCAGACCCAAACATGTGGTCGAGAGTTCAGGCTTGCTGTACTTGTTGCTGCATTCATCGCTGAACCGAATGAGCTCACATCATCTTCAAGCTTCTGCAGATGATTGGATGCAATTCATTGCTGCTGCTGCGGCACACGGAGACTTTGAACTGCGGGCAATTGCACCCCATGCTATGTCTCTGTGTTGCTGCGCACACCCAGTCGCCCCAACCTTAGAAGAGCCCAAGCTTTGGAGCAAATTGCCGATGGTACGGGCACTGCAGCCTTTGCTATGTGAAGGTGCCATAGAAAAGGAGCTGGAAAAGGCTTTTTCTGCAGGCCTCAAGCCAGCAATTGTGGCCAATTTCTTCATTCTGCTCACAGGTGGCGATGGATCCTCAGGGCTCTACCGCGAGATGAGCCTAGCAGCCGAGAGGGCTCTGGGATTAGCCAAGCCTGAAATTCGAACAGCTGCGCGAAGTTCAGTGGCAAGCTTCCTAACCCTGGAAGCAGAAGCTGAACTGGTGGTCAAGCTGAAGAATCTGAAAGTCTTGGCAGGTCCAGCCACGCGCAAAGCCACAGATGCCGTTGAAGCCGATGAAGCTGTGACATTTTGCCGGGCTGTGAGTGCCATGGCCTGCATGTTGCTGGCGGCAGCTGACTGTGGAGTGCCACGATGGTCTGGGCAGGCGATTCAAGCCGTGGCACCCTATGGCAAGACTGGAAGCTGGGCGATGTATTTAGTTTTTGCATCTTTTTTGTGTAACAGTTTCTGGACTTGGACCAGGACAGGTGTTGCATTATGGCACAATTAGATACAATTAGCATATATTACTTGGACCTGCTTGGATCTACTCTACTTGAATCTATTCTGTGTTATACGTAAAAAGTAAAATATATCATGATATAATAATATCTTTATCTAGTGAAAGGTGCCTGTTGATGGGTTTGATGATGGTACACTGCTGAACATGACAACAGATTGTGGCTAGCTTTCACATCTACCAGGAAGGCCCGGCATCCAAGAGCTTGCGAGAAAAGAGGTGCAATCTGCAATCCAGGCCTTTTTGAAACTGCAGCAATCCAGCCAGACTTCATGGACGGAATGTCAGCAGAAGTTGACACCCACACAGCTGGACCTGCTGAATGACAACAAGGGCAAATTGTCCTACTTTTCCTGAGTATTCCCGTGCTGGGAAGCTGCAGGATCAAACAAGTATCAACACATGCACGCGATTTCGAGTTTTCTGGCCTTCACCAACTGAGTGGCCTTCAATAATCTTAAGGTGCTGAGAGCTCCGCTTGCTTGCATCAGCCCACACTTTGATCTTGGGATTGAGAGAGAAAGATATACACGTACAGACATACGCGTGTACATATATGTATGTGACTATTAATATATATATATATATGTGTGTGTGACATATAATTATGACCACAAACATGTACACATACACACACACGCACGCATATAAATACATATATATATATATACACAGTACATACCTACACATGGATATATGGAGAGAGAGAGAGAGAGAGACACATATCAATACGTTCAACGCAGCATGAAGCGTCACTATGCCCACTATTGGGCCAAGGGCAGTGGATGCAGTCAGGCTGAATCATTGATTGTGTCAGATGTCAGAGGTGCATCACAGAACAGTTGCAGTTGCCAAATGACAAACAAAGGCGCGGGAGGACTCTAAGCTGCTCTAAGCCGATTCTGAGCCATTCTGGACATCGCGTCAATACCACTATATGTACCACTGTTGAGTTCTGCCATGCAGGCGACAGGCTCAAAGTTGGCCATATGAGCAATGTTAATCAATTGGTCTTGCGAGTCCCTAAAAGCCAGTTACTACCCGAACTTTGATATACAAGTGCTCCATGCAATACCACCAAGCCCTTCAGTACGGCAACGTTTTCAGCGATTTTTTGAGACCTTTACCTCCTCTATGCATTCTGCTTCGTTCCTGCCACAACATGCAGATGAAGAAGAGGTTCTCACCACTGCTTCGGGCCGGATTGGTCGGATTGGAGGATGTGGCAGTCCAGTGAAGTCAGAAGTGTAGCAGCGTTTTGCATGCCGATGATTTTGCTGGTAGATCTGAATAACTACCTTCACATTGCGTTTCTTTGACAATTCAATTCTGACCAGACTTGAAGGTGGGAATTTCCGAACATCTTTGCCCAGATATTCCTGGATTTCCAGGACCGTGTTTCGCGATGTCATATCCTGCTATGTCATATGACATCCTCAATGCACACTGCATTGGTGCCAGGACACTTCAAGACGCGCTGGCAGGCCTCACATCAACAGAACGCAATGGTGACTTTTGGGGTCAAACCCAACCTATACTCAATACTTATGTATACGTCTCACCAAACGTGGGTCGATCATTAGTTCAATGGCCTATTCAGGTACCTATATATTGTATGGGGATATTCCATTAAATAGGCCTTACATAGACCTTATACCTGGCAGGTACCTCCAAATTGGGTATCTGAAATGGCCATAGCAGGTACAACCCCCAAAATGGAATCAACATAGCTCGTATCACGAAGAATTGACATGTTCAAATTGAGTGACCGCTATTTCATCGAGTTTCCCTTCAGATCATTTGGGGTTGCGACTCCAAGTTTGGAATGTTGCGACCTGTCTCAAATCTCTGCCGGACCCACAGGATTTCCACGTTCATGAAGTTGACCTAGACGGCGTGAGCACCTGAGAACGGCAAATATGATCAATCATCATATCATGATCAAATGAATCAAATGAATCAAATGTGTTTGCTTCGCTGTGTGTTGATTACATCGGCCATGGTGAAAGTGTGTAGTTACGGGATGTTATGGGCCCCTTAGATATGTCGTATGTCCTGCAGATTTGGGGGGCTGGTTCTCAGATTATCTTCACGGTGTGCGTCATCAGCTCAAGTCCACATCTTTGCGAGGTGAATCCACTTTTAGCTTGGTTGACCCACATGGTTGTTGATTAATCTCTGACTACTTGCTGCCTTTGAAATGATGTATAGCGTTGTTTTACATGTGCTTTGCTCGACATGTTTCTTGTTAGATTCAGCTTATTATTTGGACAGACCTTCCTATTTGCAAATAAAGTCCTCATGTTTCTGAGGTAAATCCCAACTTTGGGTGTTAAAGTCCCATAGTTACCATAGTTCATGACTTGTTTCTGGTGAAATCTTTGTCTTTGTTGCTTAAAATCAACCTGTCTGCATTTTTTTGCTGCTTAAATCCCCATTCTTGGTGGCGAATTCCCATTTGTCGATGGCCAAATCCTCCAAATGGCCATCGTCCCTTCAGGTGGAACTGCATCTGACGGAGCTCATCACTCCGGGCGCCGTGGCGGCTGAGCTAAAGAGGGATGCTGAAGAGTTGGGGTGGCCCAGCACAGAAATGTGGATAGATATGGATAGATAGATGATCCATGATGATCCATGATTATGATCATTAAGGTGATGTTCATATTGATATCATCACAATTTTTTTTATACCAAATGAGTTTCATATAATATGTGAACAATTGTTAACATGTTTTTTCACTTTGATATACTTTGATATCATCACCATGTGAGTATCATAATATTGACAAACAATGTCCATGATTTGACCTGCGTTTGGAGTTGGAGATGTTGGGATTTCCCACGCCACCTCGCTGTGCAGGCGCCGGGAAGCTCGAAATTCGCTGGGATCCAGTTTTGCTTTCGAAGCTGAAACCCAAACGGTGCGGGACCAAGGGACATCAAGGGACCGAAGGACCAAGTGACCAAAGGCCTGGCGTGGAAAGGGAAAGTTGAGATTTTTACAGATTCTGGGGGTCTGCAGGCGGGATTTCAATGGATTTCATCATATTTCATCCATTTTCCATGGAAAAGGTAGGGACCCCATGGAAAAAGACACCTTAGATGCGAGTTTTTGCACTCTTTTTTTGTCTCAGATTTTTGGATCCCTAATGAGACTCCGATGAAGCTCAGGAACTGGAAGATGCTGTGGGTCCAACATTCTCAAAGGAACTCTTGGGTGAGGTCGGCATGTTTTGTGCACGTGGACTGGAACTTGGAATCTTAAAGCGAAATACGAAGATTTGCCCATTTTGTTGGTGATTGGGATTGGAAATATTTGGAAATATCTGTCAGTTTTGCCCATTTTGTTGGTGGTTGGGATCAAAAGGATTCAAAAGGATCATTGTGTCCAGAATCTTCAAATGCCAAACCGCACAGCCATCCCTATTAGCCGAATGGGTGCAGAATGGTGTTTCATGGTTTAAAATAGCTATAATCAGCTTAAAACCTCATCAAAACCAGATAAAACATGATAACACCTCATGCTCCCAGTAAACATTGCCATACATTGGGGTTTATTGAGGTACTTCGGAGCCTCAACTGCGCTGCCAGGTTTCCTGCAGCAGCAATCGCCAAGGAGCAGCGAGACACAGGTTGAGATGGCGGAGGCTTGTAAGTTGTGTCCTGGCTTGGTGCTGAATTCTTCACTATGACATAGATATCTATCGATCATAATCATCTATAATCCACCTAGTATATCCTGGTATGATTCGATATGATTACTCTAAGCAAATTCTTGTGCTTGGACATGGCAACGGATCGATCGATCTCTGCGTGGTGTGCACCAAAATTGCCAGGTGACAGCGACGCCTCCCGGCTACGTGCCATGCCCAGATGCTCAGGGCAAGCGCAACAAACCACCAGGGCAGCCTTGCGCGTGATGAGGTCGACTTTGATGCTGCCGACATCAAGGATGGATCGAAGGAGGCAGTGATGCGCTTGTGTTTCCAGCGCACAACCATGCTCCGGTCTGCTGGGGTGAGGTCTTCTCAAATTGATTCAGAAGCAGCACCAACCGACATAAGACCTAGGAATCCTTGGGCGGGCTTGATGGGTGAGTTCAGATTTTTGATGCCTTGGAAACGATGTCATCCTCAGCCTCATTGTCTTTGGTGGCCACTACATACGAGGCAAGAAAGAAAGCACATGAAGTGATTTTGAAGCACTTTGGCAGCTTTCTCAACACTGAGACGGTCTGAACCCCAGGGAGGATGCAGTTCATGCGCGGTTCTTTTTATTTTTTCAAATTGTTCTTTCTATTATCTCCATGTCTCCATGGTGATCTGAGATTCAAAAGTGGCATGTCTCCTCTCAGCCCAAAGCCCCACCAGGTGGAATCCTCTGGAGTTCGGATGCTTCGAGTCTGGATGCGCGAGGCGCTGTTTGATGGTTTGACCTCCAAGGGTTTCCAGAAATTCTGCAGCGGTAGAATTGGAGAATCGGGACATATCGGGATCATCGGACAGGCAGAGAAAAAGGCCAAAGAGCCCACTGCCTCGGAGTTCTTGTCTCAGGGAAGCTCCTAACGCTCCAGTTACGCGGATCCTGTTCCTAAGTCATGTAGTATGTAATAAACCCAGTAACAAATCATCCCCAAACAACTGTTTGGCAGTCATGATGTACAATATTCTACATCATTCAAGTACAGTAGGAATTTATATATATATATATATCATTGTTATCATGTTATCATGTTATCCAATAGCAGGCCCAAATTGTCGATTGGTATGTCCTCAAAAGACTGAGGCAAGGCACCGGCGATGGTGCCAAGGGCCGGAAAGGGAAGGGAAAAGGCGGCAAAGATAAGAAAGGCCTGGCTGGCTGGTGTCCAAAAAATGCCATTACGGTGGTAAAACCAGTAAATAATATGAAATATGAATAAATATGATATGAAGGCGATGGAGAGAGAGAGAGAGAGAGAGAGACAGAGAGAGAGAGAGAATCATATCAAAGAATGGAGAGATGCATTGCCTGTTGGTCACACATTTCCTGAGGGTCTCACCAAGCCCATTTGATCCTCAAATTCCAAGATGTTTTCAAAAGAGAAAGCCGACATGAGCTGGAAGTGATGGGCCTGTCATTCGGTGACAGGCAAAGGCAAGAAGAAGGGAGAAAAGGGCGGAGGTCAGAGCGGCGGAGTCCATTGGGCAAATCATGCAAATGATGGAAAAAATGCCACCCTAACATATGATAATCTAATCTGGCAATGGAACACCCACCGTTAATGTGTATGTATATAGATGTTATATATCATTTGCACAGCACAGACATGGGGATTTCCTATGGATCAGATTGCCCGAAGCCAAGTCTCTCAGAGACTATTTCGGCGTTCATCGATCTCAACTGGGCATATGGCAACCATCATGACCTGGCAATCGGGTGGAATTCCCGTGCCCAGCTGCTCCGGACACAGCGAGCATGTCCCCCACTTTGGATGGGGACCATCCAGATGCGCCAGGCAAAAAGGCCTCAGAAGAAGGTGAATTCCCGGCGTTTGGCATTTTTTGGATGATATCATGTCATACCTTCAACTACTAAAGGATACTAAAGGTCCATAGTACCCAAGCCTAAAGGGTCCACCTGGCAGGGGACCAGTGGACTTGCGACACTGACCTTTTTGATTTTTTGCTGTAGACCCTTGAGATCTTGCCTCATGTAAAGTTTCCACAAAAAAGATGCTTTTGCTTCACTCCTGATCTTATATGTATATCTATATATATATTATTAGGTATTCGATTCTTTCTCTATTTACCACAAATTCATCAGGACACAATGATTTGGTAGGGTATATTTTTGGGATCATGAATGAATGAAGAGAGCTACAGCACCAATGTGAACGTTTTGATGTATGGGCGGGAGTTCCGCCAACTTCCAGGGTCTAATCAGCCTCACATGGGCCTCGTGCTATGGTTTCTCTTTCAGGAGCCTCTGCTTTCGGTACCATCCGGCGAGAGGGCTGGCCAAAGGTGCAGCCTGGGGTGAGCGATAGACATGCCGCATTGAATGACCGGAAAACCACAAGTGTCTCTGGCATGTTCTGGCTGGGGGTTGTCCAACCAAAATCTTCATGGCTGGGTTGTTTCAAACGCATATTTTTCGCGTCCATTTGGGCTGCTGAAGGCCCATGCAGACGCTTTGGGATGAGTTAACAGTGGAAAATTGGTCAGTGGGAAGCCCGATTTCTTCAGCAGAGCTCAGAAAACGGCGGTCGGATTGGCACAGGACCGGCCTGATTATCTCTACTTCCGACTATACAAAGAGCCCGGCAGCCCGGCCGTTCAGATCAAAGTTGTGCTCCACAGCTCCACCAAGATCCTGATTCAGTTTCGTCAACTGGCTGCCCAGTGGATCCAGTGGTTGGTTGCCTCTTTGGACTGCTCAAAGTTGTTTCTAGCGGTGGACGGTAAGCATCAAGAGCTAAAAATAAGATATCATAACTTGGCGCAGCCATGAGTACAATTCTCTAATGATATATAGGTATGCATCCTTGGAACGCTTGTTCAAGTAAGAAGCATGTCAACAAACCATAGAATATCATAGAATTGTCAATGGCGTGGCTTACCTTTGCATGGAAGTTGATGCGACAGAGATATAGATCTGGGCTGACTTCATCCTGGTGAAATTATCACCCCTGCTGATCAAGCACCAACTCACAAGCCCGTGAATACCCCAGGCTTTTGCAAAGATGAAAAGTAGGAGAGTTGCTTCGGCTTGCGTGTCCATAGTTGTTCCTACAGCACTGCATTCTTCGAAGCTCACACATGTGAAAAGGAAATGAAAGGACGAGGTCAGCAAATCTTGCTGAATGTCGTGCTGAACGGCGTCCTGGATGGGTCGGAACATGTGTCCAGTCGCACCATGGAAAAGGGACTGATGCGCCAACAGGCAGCAGCCAGCAGTCAACCAGGATCCGGTGCAGCACAGGAGATCTCCCTTGCTGAAGGTTGCTGATGCCCATCTCGCAGCACCATTTCTGATGGCCACCTCGAGAAGCCCAGCAGTGAGTGCAGCCGCAACTGACGAAAGATGGCGAAAGCATTTGGGTAAGTAAGTCTCAAGATTGGAGACGCCAATCCCCTATGCTTCATCGTCATTTTCTCCATTCACATATGTTGAATCGTGCTTTGAATGCCTATACTTCCTATATCTTCCTATATGGTTCCATACAATGGTTCTATATTATGGTTCCTATAGGGTTCTATATTTGGTTCTATATTTGGTTCTATATTTGGTTCCATATGGTTCTCCATTTTTTGAGAACCCGCCATTTGCGAGCGACCCTGAGGAACTGCGACACAGGGGAAGCTGTCTCCAGCATCGCCCGTTGCGTTGGGCGATCGGTGTGGCTCCCCGGGCATAGCTATGCTCTTCTCTGGACAAAGCCAATGTAAAATCATTGGAATTATATTGAATAGCCATAATTATGGTGGAATTATGGGAAGTATATTGCAGACTACTCATAGTGCCATAATTCAATATAATTCCGCCATTTTGCACAAGAGAGGCAAGTTGCTGAGCTGCATTCCAAAGGTCAAGCAGTTCACCTTCGCTGGAACCAAAGACAAGCGGGCTTGGCCCTGGGATTGTGCAGTGCCACGAGAAAGACTGTCCAGGGTTGGAAAGCTATATGACTGACTCCAAACTATACAATATAATATATATATACAGTAGATCAGTAGCTTACTGGGTTGGTTAAGTTGATTTGCTGATTTTTTGCAGCAGGTCACGGGATGCCCGGGATGTGGGTGTGCCCTGAAAATAGTTGCCTTTGAAGTTAGCCCCAAACCATTAATGGCGCTTTGGTCCGTGCTGCTGGTACCATGCCAGTCATATCGTTGCTCCTTGCCGTCTTTTCAGCAACCCTGCCCTTGGCGAATACCAGGCAGCAACGGTGCAGCAGATTTGCGCCAGGGACTGAATTCCTTATCCTCCTTGCTGGTTTGATTATTAAACAACGAATGGGCAAAGGATGGTCAATGGGTTTGTCTCAAATTGATTCACAATGGAGATAATTGTAATTAGTTAGTTAGTCATACAATATTATTTCAGTTTATTTCATATGGCAATGCGCACACACAGGTATATACGGTATATATATATAACACATACATATACAAAATAATATTTTACCCTGTAACACACTCAGGCAATTTTCGGATATTCGCATCGAGAATCCATGTCCAAGGCACACCGCCTGCCGGCTGACCAACTGCGACGTACGGTGCTGCACAGGCCTTGACAATCTCGACAGATTTGGGCATGAAAGGAGAGAGACTATGGCACGTAGCAACCCCCAAGAAGGTAGAAAATCAACATCCTACCAAACTAGACTGAAATGGACTGAAATATTCTGAGATCATATAGAACCTAATCATAGTCATAGCAACTGGTCTGTCAGATTCCATAAATCAGACGAAATTATTTGGGTGAAACTGGGTGAAACTGGGCAACATGGGATAACTGGGATAACCAATAAAAATCTCCAAAATCCATCAACATCCAATGGTTGACCATCATTTCCCATATAAATGGGGTCTTTTTGGGCATCCATCCTTTGTCCCAGCGCAGGCTCTGGGACAAACGCCTGAGAATTTGCGCCTTGGAATATCGCAAGGATCGTTTGCGTTTGGGTCAGCTGCGCCAGGGGGCCCAGGGGGCCCAGAACAAGTGGGGTTCCAGATGACTGTGACATACTCTGAAGATAGATTTAAATTGATGTACCCTCTGGTAAACTAACATAACTATGGAAAATCACCATTTTTAATGGGAAAATCCACTATAACTGGCCATTTTCAATAGCTATCTTAAATTACCAGAGGGTAAACAGACAGATGGATACATTATATTACATTATGATATGTACATGGCACATGTTATCACATGTTCATGTTCAATGGTGACCCCTGGCAAGAGTTAAACAAGCTTTACACTAGTTATGTTTCTGTTGTTGATGGTTTTTGCGCCGTTGCGGGCACCTCTCGGCCCAGGTGGGAATCGATTTCGAATCGTTCTCCGCAACGTCCCAGCAGAGATCTTCCAGGCTCCAAGGGCTCGGAATGGCTCAAACTTGGAGCAAAGATGACCAAAGATGCCTAATGTTAAGACATGTTAAGACATCAGGCTCTATAGGATGGAGATGGATGGAGGGTTTTCAACAGATTTGTATAGATTTGTTATGATTTTGACATGATTCAGATATGATGTGTTGTTGTGATTTGTTTGTGAGAAGGCTTTGCATAGAGGATTTTAATATATTTTGATATGGTTTTAATGTGATTCTGATATGGGTCAAATTCTGATTTTGATGTGGGTCAGGAGTCAGAATGTTGATTTGTGTTTTCCAATCATATCCAAAACCTAGGCCTATGGCTAGGGAATCATATCCAAAACCGCATCGAAATCATAACCCCAAATTCAAAGCGTGTCAAAATCATATCCTAAAATCATATCCAAATCATATTAAACCATAAATGTCTTAAAGTGGCTTCCTAAAGAGGCTTTGGTGTCTTAAACCTAGCAACAATTGGGTATGTGGTTTGCCTTCCAGCTGTGAATTCAATCATATTCCACACTAAATCATACATTCTAAAATTCTTTAGCTGGCAACTTCGCAGGAGATTGGATAGTTGTGTATGAGAGAGATCAAAATCGCAGTTGATTGTGCATGTTCAATTGGAAAATGTCTGAGATTGACCGTGGTTCCTCTAGTCAGGCGGCCGACGCCACAGAAGGCGCAAAACAACAGCAAGTTGCGGAAACATCGGAAACGGGGAGGGAGGATCCATGATATCCCCCTAATATAAGACACCTCCAGCTGTATGTTATGGTCCCAAATATGTGTGGATCCCCTGCATCCACCATTGTTTCTGGGGGGATGTAGAGTTGGGCTTGCGATGCAGGTTCCAAAGACAGCTTAGGAGCCTTAGGCTGCTGCCTCAGCTGGTTGAGATCTTCTGGTAAAGCCATTATTCCATGTCCATACCAATTCTTATTATCAGAAATGGCATGCCAATTCTTATCAAAAATGGTTTGTATGAACCCTACCAGAAGCTTCATCTTCATTCTATATATTTCATTCTTGTGTCTACCACTTTTTCCAGTTCTAAGATCTGACTTGACGCCCTACCCACCCGCAGATCAAACAAGGCCTTGCCTTTCAAGCAGCTGGCAAAGGCCGTTGATGGAACAAAGCCTGCGGTTGACCGGTGGTTTATCCCATTGATTTATAGGGTTTCAACATCCAAGCTGGTGCAGGATTTCGTCCATCCAGAGTATCAAATGTTGATCCGCATGTCTTCAATTTTGATGTGCTTTGTCGTAGGGCCTTCTTCTGAGTTGCAGAGGTTTCCTGAACTACTTCGGACTTCAGCGTTTCGGAACGCGGGAAGTGAAGACCCACCGGGTTCCGGACTCATCACCCCTTTCTCTTGGGCCAGTCATCAAAACCACAACAGGCCCTAGTTTTCATAGAAAAAACATGTACTGAACAAGATGTTCATTAATTTCGAATTACTCCAATCATACAGACAACGAATGAACATCAATGAACATCACGGAAGCCAAATCCATGTCTTGCCCACACGGCCCACATGGTCTTGCAGCATGTCCTGCTCGATGCCAAGGTGGGTGCTGCCATCATTGCTGGCCGCTGGGAAGCGGCAGTCCATCTCATCCTGGGATGCAAAGTCTGGGAACTCAGGCGATGGAAAAACCATGGTGCTGTCAGTGCTGTCCCATGGTTGATGGTTCTGGCAGGAGGGGTAGAACAGTATAACATTCTAGATATTCTAGCAAAACCCCAAACAAATTGAAAAAGATGGAACAGTAAAATCCGGTTGATTAATTTTGGTGACCTGCGTGCTTTCCTATCTTCTTTGGGGTTGCTATATGTCAGTTTCTGATGGTGCTTAGGAGAGTCTATGTTGGATCTTACTAGTTCCTGCTGGTAGTGTGGCAAACTCGATGATAAACCTCCAATTGGGAGGGTTTGGATCCCACCCTTGGGGTAAAATTTGGGCAGGGTTTATGCTTCTTGTTTTGCCACATTGCCATACATTACCAATGAAGTGGGTTTGGGTCTCAATAACACCCACAATATTCATTACCAACAATATCCTATGGGTTTATCACCTATTGTTATTGCTGTTGATAGCTCCTTCCTAATGCGGTACACCGGGCATAAACAACGACCATTTGGGGATGATGTTTACCACCCATGACGATGGTTTTCCTCCCTCTTCCAGGAAGGAAAACGGCCAGCTGGCCCTACGGAGGCAGGAGAATTTCAAGGTAACCCCACAAACCTGGCGAAATTCCACGAAATTCCGGATAGAAATGGGATTATTCCTACATATTACTAGAATTAAAAAGAGCAGAAGTCACTTAAAGAGGCGAAGCTGTTCCGCCAACAGGATGCAGTATGACGTTCCAAACAACATAACTTTTCGTAAATCGAAGCAACGATGTTCCCTATCGCTTTGGGGCCCAAAAAAAAACCCATGGTTGATAATCTTCCCTAAAAAAAGTGATTTGTACCGGTTGCTACTGATTGCTTTGATTTTGAGCGTTTGAAACTGCTGACGCCTCAAAATCTGCGCTGCGCAGCCGCTGGGATCAAGTTGCCTCAGTTGGCCACAGACCCTGAAGGGCCCCCGGATAGGCCCTGGCGGATTTGGATCTGGAGGGTATTGTGCTGGTACTAGTAGCGGATTGCTGATTGGGGATAGCACCACCATTCACAGCAATGATATATATTATATAAAATGGTTGATGTTGAAGTATTTTTTTGGAAGAATTCATTCAAATCCATTCAAACCCCTCATACCATTTCGATGGCGAAACCCCGCAGGAATCCATGGTCTTGACCATTCAACAAACGGGGTCGTTGTTGATTTTCCCTCCAATTCTAGGATCCAGACATGCCGGAATGCCTCAATGAAGGGAATATCTACCAGAAAATCATCATCATCATCATCATCATCATCAATATCTTTCGCGGCAAATTCCATCATATAACACTGGGGTCGCATTTGCCCCTACCTCATGTGGGGTCGCACTTGCCCCTACTCAAGGTGGAGGTAGGGGCATGTAGGGGCGAACGTGACGCTAGTAGGGACCCTAGGGTAGGGGCGAATGTGACCCGACCTCGTTTTCCGTGGCAGGCGCAATAGTTTCAGAGTCTCGAAAGGATTGTTTTCCAGCTGTGACAGTCAGCTACGACGTCTTTTCCAAGTGTTACGTTTTAACATCCATATGAAGCAACTATTTTAAAACGCTGTAGATGCTGTAGATGCTACGTGGTAACATCCATTTTAAGCAACTCCAACACGCTCTGGATCCAAAACTGCAACATCCATTTGAAGTCAGTTCCAAGACGCTCTGGGTGCTAGGTCGTAACATCCACTTGAAGTCATTTCCAAGACGGTCGGGGGTTCGCTTGGAGCGCCAGAAAGTGGATCGCTTTGAGCGCCGGAAAGTGGATCGCTTGGAATGCCGAAAAGCGTCACGCACAGACACATAGGAGATACATAGCGCTATAGCTACATATTGACACAGAGACATAGACACATAAATGGACACATTCATACGTGCCTACACGCTGAAGCACTGAAGCACGCACGTAGTGACATTGATAGATGCACGCAGGTACACTTTCCAGGCGATCCGCCTTCCGGCCCGAAATTCACCAGTAGTCCCTCCAAGTAACCAAACCCGTGTCCCAGTCCCGTGTCCCCAAGTTTAGCCCTGAAGGTCTGATTCTTTGGTTCTGATCCGCTTGTCCCCTAAACCCACCCCATGTCCCAGTCCCAGCCACCTGTCCCTGAAACCCACCCCTTGTCCCAGCCTAAACCCTAAAGATGTGATTTTGGTTCTAATCCACCATACTTGTCCCCTAAACCCACCCGATGCCCCACTCCCTTTTCCCGACTTGTCCCCTAAACCCGCCCCATGTCGCAGCCCCGTGTACCCAAAGTAAACACTAAAGATGTGGTTCTTTGGTTCTAATCCACCACGCTTGTCCCCTAAACCCGCCCCATGTCCCAGCCCCGTGGCCCCACTTGTCCCCTAAACCCGCCCCATGTCTCAGCCCCGTGTCCCCAAGTTAGGTGCTCTAAGTGATCCACTTTTTGGTGCTCTAAGTGATCCCATGGTGCTCTAAGTGACCCCATGGTGCTCTAAGTGATCTGGTGCTCGAAGTGATCCGCTTTCCATTGCTCTAAGTGATCCCCTAACCTTCCAAGACGCTCTGGGTGCTATGTTGTAACATCCGTTTCAATCAACTTGCCAGGCGCTCTGGATGCTACGTTGTAACACCCTTTCAACCAACTTCCAAGACGCTCTGGGTGCTACGTTGTATCAGCCATGTCAAGCAACTTCCAAGACGCTGTGGATGTTACGTTGTAACATCCTTTCAATCAACTTCCCAGACGCTCTGGATATCTCTGGGTGCTATGTGGTAACATCCGTTTCAATCAACTTCCAAGACGTTTTGGGTGCTACATTGTGTCAGCCACGTAAAGCAACTTCCAAGATGCTGTGGATGCTACGTCGTAACATCCGTCTCAATCAACTTACCAGACGCTCTGGATGCTACGTTGTAACACCCTTTCAATCAACTTTCCAGATGCTGTGGATGCTACGTTGTAACATCCTTTTCAATAAACTTCCCAGACGCTCTGGATATCTCTGGATGCTATGTTGTGACATCCGTTGCAATCAACTTCCAAGACGCTCTGGATATCTCTGGATGCTATGTTGTGACATCCGTTGCAATCAACTTCCCACACGCTTTGGATGCTACGTTGTAACACCCTCAAGACGCTCTGGATATCTCTGGATGCTATGTTGTGACATCCGTTGCAATCAACTTGGATGCTACGTTGTAACACCCTCTCAATCAACTTTCCAGATGCTCTGGATGCTACGTTGTAACATCCATTTCAATCAACTTCCCGGACGCTCTGGATGCTATGTTTTAACACCCTTTTCAATCATCTTTCCAGATGCTCTCGATGCTACATTGTAAATCGTTTTAACACCCTTTTCAATCAACTTCCAAGACAGTCGGGATATCTCTGTATGCTATGTTGTAACATCCATTTGGCTCAACTTCCCGGACCTTCTGGATGCTATGTTGTACAATCCATTCCGATCAACTTCCAAAACGGTCGGGATATCTCTGTATGCTATGTTGTAACATCCATTTGGCTCAACTTCCCGGACCTTCTGGATGCTATGTTGTACAATCCATTTCGATCAACTTCCAAGACGGTCAGGATATCTCTGTATGCTATGTTGTAACATCCATTTCTTTCAACTTCCAAGACGCTCTGGATGCTACGTTGCATCGGCCACGTGAAGCAACTTCCCAAGACGCTGTGGATGCTGGGTTTTAACATCCGTTTTAATCAACAACGCTTCCGTCCCCCAGTCCCTCCTAAATGTCCCTTGTCCCCAGGTCAAACCCTAAAAGGTTGAATGCAGGGGCGAATGTGACCCTGGGGCAGGGGCGAATGTGACCCTCGTCCCGTTCACAGCCAGCCGTTTTCCATCAGGCCATGGCGGCCAAGCCGTCGATCCACGCCTGCAGCTTTGGCAACCCACCGGATCCCGACAAGATCACCACCTACCCGGGTGTGGCCCGGCGCAACTTGGCAGCCCATGGAGATCCCAAGGGAATGGCGCCCTCTGGGATATGCTGAAATTTTGATGGGTGAAGGGTGGGAAAGTGGAATAAAGTGAACATGTTTTGAAGTTTTGGGTGCATGGTGAAATTCAATGCTCGGATGGATTGATTTTTTTTTGGGGGAGTGTGCGTTTCCTTTATCTGTGCGGGGCCGTTGAGGATACCTGCCGCATGAAGCTTTGACCATCTACAGGGAGAAGATCTATGCAGAACGAAAGGCTCAAGTTGCATTTGGTCGTAGATTGTACCTCCATATAATTCAATAATATATGTTGGCCATTGTTAGCCTGTTGGGGATATCATGGGATATCTTGATTCTGCGGACATGATCGCCTTGATCGTGTTTAGGGTCGTGGGTCGTGTTTGCTGAGAACTGTTGATGCTGCACTGAGTTGGAATCTCTGGCATCCCAATCTTTTTACAAACCACTGAGGGTCCCAAATCAGCGACGTGTCAGGCATATCAAACTCCGTCAGGTGAAAGGTGGTTCAAGGACTGGATAGTGTTGTTGGAGGACCAGGATTCATCCATCTTCATCCCAGTGAACCTAAGATGGATATTTTTTGGTGCGACAAAGTCAAAAGTGGCAAATTTTGCGCAGATCTTCACATCACATCTTGACTTCAATCATTTCAAACTGTATGTATGATTATGTATTTGTATGTTTTTTTTCGGGGATGTGTTGCCTGCAAAGTTCAAAGGGTTGTGTCCCTGCACACAGCCAAGTGCAGCATAGTCCAGCCATCCTGGCTGTACCTTTGGTCCTATGGTGCAGGAGCACAAGCGCAAGCAGAAAGAGATGGAAAAACTCGAGAAACAAATCAAAGACTTCAGGGAATCCCGAAGGCAGTGGGACCAAGGAGAAATGGAAGGTCTAGATATGTCTAGATATGTCTAAATCATTAATTTTTGTGGCATCTTGGGCAACATGGCTTTACATGGAGGTTTCCTAAAATGGGGGTGCCGGAAATCATCCAAAGTTAGATCCGTTGAGTATTGAAACCTGTGATAGCCTATGTTTTTTCCTATGGCCCACTGCTGGTGAGTTAACGCGTCCATCACTGCCACCAGTTTGCAACACTCATCTCTTGGCGAGGATATTTGACTGACTTGTCCTCCAGTCAGTGGAAAGTAATGTCCCGCAAAGCAAGCTTTCCATCAGTTTCATACTGCCTGGGCCTGCACCGCCTTTGATTTTCAAGGTAATCAAGGTAATAGTTCCTAAAAGTTCCAGCTGTGGCTAAGTTTCTTGCCATCCAGTTGGATCGTTTATCATGTTTAACAATGTTTGATACCAAAAAGTTACCCATTTTATTCCATTGTGTGGATTTTGGTGGTCCAATAGATTTTCATGCCCATCTCATCCAGCCAAAACTGGGCATCGGCAGGGAGTTCGCCCGAAGTTTATCCTTGCCGACCATCACAGCATCCTGAGCGCGGCAACGCGCCCGCGCCCGCAGTTGCTCGGCCTCGGCCCAAGGGGTTGGACCACAGATCCACGGTGTCACTGGGCATCTGGTGATGTGATCCTTAGGATTCCTTGAAACTTTTGGACGATCCTTCGCCCAAGGCAGGGAGGATCTTCCAATTCTTTTTGGGGCGCTGTGACAAGTCCAAAAACCCGAAGGGTTTGGGGTGCTAACAGCCAGATATGAGGCCCGACGCAACATGCTTGGGTCGATGGGAAAAAGTTGCAGACCGAGCGGGCAGGTGGGGTGTTGTTCTGGGATGGCACATCAGAGAGAAGAATGGCATAAGCGTCAATAAAAAATCCATGGGGATCTGCTGTATGGCAGGACATCAACAATATCAGATCCGCATAAATCATTATAAATCACGCGCATGTAATTATACAGAGTCTATATGTATATGTATATGTGTATATGATGTGTATATGTGTACATGTGTATATGATGCGTATATGTATGTATATGTGTACATGTATATGTATATATGTATATATGCATATGTGTGCATGTATATTTTTGTATATATATATATGTGTGTGTGTTTATTGGCCGCAGCTCACACTACGTTATTCCATGTGGAAAAATGTGTGTTTATGTATATATATGCATGTGTATGTGTATATATATATACATGTGTATGTGTATGTATATAATATATAAATACATATGTACATATGTATATATATATATATTCACACATATATATACATATACATACATATATATATATATACATATATATATACATATGTGAATATATATATATATATGTACATATATATATATATACATGTGTGCTTGTTATATGTATATGTGTATATGGATATATATATATATGTGTGTGTGTGTGTTTGTGTATATATGTTTTTAAATATGTATATATATATGTATGTATATATATATATACATGTATGTGTATTTGTGTATATGTGTATATGTAAATATTGATTTACCGACCTATGTGCTTATTTATTTATGTATTCATTTACGTATGTATTGATTTGTTTATATACCAACATCTACCAAGACAATTGACATACTATCCAGACATTTATCATCATTCATTCCAGCTTTGGTTTCTAGAAATACCTCGGTCGCAGGTCGAAAGGCCTTCCAAACTTCCTCGATTGGATGATGTGCCTGGCTGAGGGGATATGGCTTTCCAAAATTGAGGATACATTGGGTACCGAAAAATGGAACTTTCAATAGGGAACTGATGGTGAAACATGATCAATCATGATTGTGGGGGTGTAGTTATTTTTTTGACGCACCCAAGATTCAAGGTGCCATGTGCATTCATGTGTTTCGGACCATTGGGAACCAGCAAATGATCTTTTATGTGTTCAATTTCTAGTTTGAATTCACTAAGGCTAGTGACAAATCGGAGAAGCCGCAGGCAGTGACGCCGTTGGATGCCAACGAGGGGTTCAGAAGTACAGAGTTGAGAAATGGTTTGGAGTGGTTTCAAACATCAGTAGCGTTTTTTGCCGATTTGAGTTTTGGTTTCACATCAGGATTATCAGGCAAAAACATCTATGAGATCTATGAGTCTATGAGGTTGCACCCTAGCCCAATCAGTCACAGTACTATCAAGTTTCAACCGACAAGGAACAAGGACAAGAAGGAAAGGGCTGCAACAAAGGCAAGCAGAAATTGGTGTGCGGCCCAGCCGCGTGTTCGGATTTGCTCAGATATGTCTGGCAGGTTGTTTCCAAGCCTTTTAGCATATCCGAGAGATGATTATCAAAGCATCAACATATCTCGTTGTTGAATTGACAAATCATGACAAATCTATTTTTTGCATGAGCTAGCCAGCAATCTCGGATCTTGAAAGAATGAGGAGTGGTGTCGCGGCAAACGGTGACAGATCATCGTTCAGTATGAGATTGAACTCATTATACTTGGTCCTGGGAAACCTATCAGGTGAGCGAAGCCCAACGAGTATACCTGGCAGTCACCTCAGCTATGGTGATGAATTAATGTGGCAAACCCAATAATAACCTCCATTGGGGATGGTTCGTTGGGTTCACCACATTACGTTGATTGGGAAGGTATGTTTGTTGCTGTTTTGGAAGGGGCGCTTGACTTCAAGGTTCCAAGCAGGTCATGAGTAGACTGAGTAATCCTCTCCCCCTAATACTAAACCCCGGCCCCCCCAAATAATAAACACCTCAGGTAGTTTGTATTATTAGGGTGTATTTATTATTGATGGTGTTCCCCCTAATACTAAATTTAAATCCCTAATATTACAAAAACTATGTTGTTCTATTGCAAAATCGATTAGATGTCCTTTAATCTAATTAAAATACATTAAAATATTGCCAAAAATTGGATTTCGAAGCTTTCCCCTAATGTTAAAATAAAAGCCTTAATAAAAGTACTTTTTTTTCGACCTTAAAGGACGGACCCTAATAAAAAACACCCCGGGGTTGACTAGTTTTTATTATTAGGGGGTGAAAACCTAACCTCAAATTTCCAAAATTGGAGACAGACCCTAGTTTTTATTATTTGGGGGGGTTTAGTAATAGGGGGAAGGGATTAGCCGGAGTAGACCGCCGTCGATGAAACGAGGAAACGGGAGATGCTCAGCGGGCACTGGACATCATGCCCAGGGCCCAGCATTTTCTTCGGCCAGGATGGCATGTTGGAAGGATGGTGGAGCTAGTCATGGAGTCAAACCACTTTGAAAGCCGCAAAGTTCCTCAGAAAGAATGAGCTGTTTTCGCTATGCCTCAACTCCGGAGCTGGTCTAAATCACTGTTTTTAAATGGTTCAAAGATAATGAGGAAGGTAGATGTGTGGCCAAATGTGCCACCGGGTTTGGGTGAGCCATATTGAAATCATTGCTATGAATTGCCAAGCATTTCCATCACAAGCACACCATATATCATCGAAGAATTTGATGAAGGAAAATCTACAGGAAACTCCTCTATGTCATGGTAAAATATTGTAAATATATTATGGTTTCGGGTAAGCATACTTCCTTGCACCCTGATGATATTGAACGGTCGGTTCTCAAATTGAGGCCTAGAAGCCAGCGGCTAAGTGGGGAACAAATTGCCCTCCTTCGACGGATCATCTCTGAAGATTGAAGTTTGGGACCTCACATCAACGTTGGGTATTCACATTAGGCAGGGTTTGGTAAATGTCCCATTTTGGGGATATCTGTCGGAGACTATATCCCCAAGATTTGGGTGATGTTCAATTAGGACATTTACCAACCCCTGTTAGGGGCCAGTTGGTTTGCTTCCAGCTGGATCACGTTCCCTACAGGTCAACACCTGGAACGCTGCATTCTTGGGGCCATGGCTCGTGGCTTGCCTTTTGCCAGGGCTTCAGAGTCATCAGCTGGGTGCACAAGGTTGTGAAATGTTGTGAGTTTCAGCTGCTGCTATAGTCATTGAAATGGCTATAGTCTATATTATATTTATATTATATATATTTTTTTTTTATTTATAAACCACCAATACATATAATATAGTATAATATAATATAATATAATATATAATAATATCTAATATAATATAATAAAATAATATATAATATAATATGATATAATATAATATAATATAATATATGAATATAATATCATATATACATATATACGTATATACATATACACATAGACACATATACAAATATACACATATACATATACATATAATATATATATATATACACATTTTATTCAAAAGTTCTATGGCGAAAGTTTGTGTCACCATGATTTGTGAAAAAGTTCCTGGCCATCACAAACTTGGCATGTTTTTGAAATAGATGATTCGGTGCCGTACAACTCAGCTACAGGCAGAGACTTTGAGCCAGCTGCCGCACCAAGCAGAGCTGGCCTCAGCATGGCGTCCACCGGAAAGCTGGTGCTAATTCAATGTGCAGTGTTGCTGAATTGCTGCGAAACACACAAACATGCAGTTTTCCAAATTGTTGGTGTTGAAGATATGCCATTTTCATGTGCAGGTGTCCTTGTATGCTCATGCAGCTCAAAGTCTGGTTTGGAATGCGGTTCTGTCGAGGAGGACACTGACTCCCATGGGCGCTTGCGATCATCACAGCGGCGTCATCTTTTGGAGCTGCTTCCTTTTTCCAGGGTTCCCTTCATGAACGCCTCAACTTCCCTTTTTTCCCTGCTATGGTGTCCAAGGCTAGGAGATCCAATGCCAATCCCAACTAGGAACTTGGGCGCAGGATCCGAACCTTTGGGCGGCAGCCCGTGGAAGGCTGGGACCCAACGGCAAATGCTTGAGTGGATCCCCTGTGCCGGCGCGGCTGAGGTGATTTGGTCTTCCAAGCTGAAGGTCAGGAGGCATGGTCCTGTAGCTGTTGATATGTTGGCTGCCAACTGCAGATGGGTCAAATCGAAACACATGCAGAGGGCGCCTATATTTCTTCATTTTCTGCTGGTTCACCAGGGAGTTGCCCCCCTCCGCGAATTTCATTTGTGAATGGAAGTTCGCCCATTTATAGATCATCATCATCATCATCATCGATTGTCCAATATTTACAGTACCCATCAAAAGTAGGCATTACCATGCATTATCCACTATTATCCCATATGTTCCAATTGTTTCCCACCATTTCCCACCAAAAAACTCGGTATTTTCCATCCGATATGTTCCATTTTTTTCCCAGAAAGAGTTGGTGTTATCCCATCCAAATTCCCAGGCAGAGGCCATGGATGAAATCCTGGACTGCGGTGAAGACGATGCTTCGGAGGAGGAGAGCTGTTTTGAAGATCCTATGGGGCCATTGGGATTGTTGGGATGAAACACATTGATTCTTGGGATGTTTGGTGATTTTTGATGATTATTTAGGACTTTAGGATGTTTATTTGGGCTTATTTGGGATGAAACAACTTGATTCCTGGTGATATACTCTTGGTGGGATATACCATCCACCAAATTCACAGCTCGAGCCTGAAAACAGACATGTTTTTTTGGGGAAAGTAATCTTCCAACCCCCGGCTCATAGCTTGCGATTCTTGGGATGAAAAGTATTGAAAAGTGGGCATCTATATAGTGTTCCTATACCCCCCCCTTCTACAGTCATTTTACTAGGGACAATGCTGGTAAACCATGGGATTCAGGGGATTTAGGGGTACCCCAACA